AAAACATCATCCACTATCCTTACCAAACCTTGTGTCAACTATATCCTCGCCTAAATATGACAACATATTTCACTGCTAAGGCATTAAGCTTTAACCAAATGTATAATGTGTAACAGTAAGCTGCAATATCAGCACATGCTATTTAATGTACTCCCGAGTTAAACTTTGAAGCACAACTAAAGGCAATAAACAACTTCTCTGATATAAAGCGGCCTATGTGGCATCGATATTAGTCCGAAAAATGTATTCTAGTGTCAAAATTGACTAAAAAGTGTAAATAGGATCATTTTGTTCATAAAGTCAGTCTCGTCCAAATCTGAGTTTTGTAAGTGAGTTGGTCATGACTTACTTGAGAGTTGAGTTTTGATTTCGACAATGCTCACTTGCCCACTAACACGGGATACACAGCTGCAGGGATTGCGCTCTATCAAATTCGACCAAAGAACAAAGAGGGTGAGACCGACCTGCCTAGCAGCACAGCGGATCTGGTTTTGTTTACATGAGACAATGTCTTAATTTTTTTACTTGACAAATAGTGCACAAAATATCTTAGCTAGATGCAAAATTGCGTGACTAAAACTTCCTCTGCAAAAATAGCAAACTTAATTACAGATTTCTTAAATTAGACTATATACAGTTGAAGTCGGAAGTTTAGATACACTTAGGTTGGAGTCATTAAAAATCGTTTTTCAACCACTCCACAAATGTATTGTTAACAAACTATAGTTTTGGCAAGTTGGTTAGGACATCTACTTTGTGCATGACACAAGTGATTTTTCCAACAATTGTTTGAAGACAGATTATTTCACTTATAATTCACTGTATCACAATTCCAGTGGGTCAGAAGTTTAGATACACTAAGTTGACTGTGCCTTTAAACAGCTTGGAAAATTCCAGAAAATGATGCCATGGCTTTAGAAGCTTCTGATAGGCAAATTGACATAATTTGAGACAATTGGAGGTGTACCTGTGGATGTATTTCAAGGCCTACCTTCAAACTCAGTGCCTCTTTGCTTGACATCATGGGAAAATCAAAATAAATCAGCCAAGACCTCAGAAAAAAAAAAATTTGACCTCCAAAAGTCTGGTTCATCCTTGGGAGCAATTTCCAAACACCTAAAAGTTCCACGTTCATCTGTACAGACAATAATACGCAAGTATAAACACCATGGGACCACGCAGCCGTCATACCGGTCAGGAAGGAGACGCGTTCTGTTTCCTAGACATGAACATACTTTGGTGCGAAAAGTGCAAATCAATCCCAGAACAACAGCAAAGGAACTTGTGAAGATGCTGGAGGAAACATGTACAAAAGTATCTATATCCACAGTAAAACGAGTCCTATATCGACATAACCTGAAAGGCCGCTCAGCAAGGAAGAAGCCACTGCTCCAAAACCGCCATAAAAAAGACATGGGGAAAAAGATCGTACTTTTTGGAGAAATGTCCTCCGGTCTGATTTAACAAAAATAGAACTGTTTGGCCATAATGAACATGGTAATGTTTTGAGAAAAAAGGGGGTACTTGCAAGCCAAAGAACACCATCCCAACTGTGAAGCATGGGGTGTCAGCATCATACTGTGGGGGTGCTTTGTTGCAGGAGGGACTGGTGCACTTCACAAAATAGATGGCATCATGAGGAAGGAAAATTATATGGATATATTGAAGCAACATCTCACGACATCAGTCAGGAAGTTAAAGCTTGGTCACAAATGGGTCTTCCAAATGGACAACGACCACAAGCATACTTACAAATGTGTGGCAAAATGGCTTAAGGACAACAAAGTCAAGGTATTGGAGTGGCCATCACAAAGCCCTGACCTCAATCCTATAGAAAATGTGTGGGCAGAACTGAAAAAGCATGTGCGAGCAAGGAGGCCTACAAACCTGACTCAGTTACACCAGCTCTGTGAGGAGGAATGGGCCAAAATTCACCCAACTTATTGTGGGAAGTTTGGGGAAGGCTACCTGAAATGTTTGACCCAAGTTAAACAATTTAAAGGCAATGCTACCAAATACTAATTGAGTGTATGTAAACTTCTGACCCACTGGGAATGTGATTAAAGAAATAAAAGCTGAAATAAATAATTTTCTCTACTATTATTCTGACATTTCACATTCTTAAAATAAAGTGGTGATCCTAACTAACCTAAAACAGAGAATTTTTACTAGGATTAAATGTCAGGAATTGTGAAAAACTGAGTTTAAATGTATTTGGCTAAGGTGTATGTAAACTTCCGACTTCAACTGTATATACAAAAGTATGTGGACAACCCTTCAAATTAGTGGATTTGGCTACTTCAGACACACCCGTTGCTGACAGGTGTATAAAATCGAGCACACAGCCATGCAGTTGCCATAGACAAACAGTAGAATGGCCTTACTGAAGAGCTCAGTGACTTCCAAGGTGACACCGTCATAGGATGCCACCTAGAGCTGCCCGGGTCAACTGTAAGTGCTGTTATTGTGAAGTGGAAATGTCTAGGAGCAACAACGGCTCAGCCACGAATTGGTAGGCCACACAAGCTCACAGAACGGGACCGCCGAGTGCTAAGCGCATAACGCATAAAAATCGTCTGTCCTCGGTTGCAACACTCACTTCCGAGTTCCAAACTGCCTCTGGATGCAACATAAACACAAGAAATGAGTTTCCATGGCCGAGCAGCCGCACACAAGCCTGAGATCACCATGCGCAAAGCCAAGCAACGGCTGGAGTGGTGTAAAGCTCGCCACCATTGGACTCCGGAGCATTGGAAATGCGTTCTCTGGAGTGATGAATCACGCTTCACCATCTGGCAGTCCGACGGAAAAATCTGGGTTTGGCAGATGCCAGGAGAACGCTACCTGCCTGAATACATAATGCCAACTGTCAAATTTGGTGTAGGAGGAATAATGGTCTGGGGTTGTTTTTCATGGTTCAGGCTAGGCCCCTTAGTTCCAGTGAAGGGAAATATTAATGCTACAGCATACAATGACATACTAGACGATTCTGTCCTTTGTGGCTACAGTTTGGGGAAGGCCCTTTCTTGTTTTAGCATGACAATGCCCCCTGGGCACAACGCGAAGTCCATACAGAAATGGTTTGTCGAGATCAGTGTGGAAGTACTTGACTGGCCTGCACAGAGACCTGACCTCAACCCCATCGAACACCTTTGGGATGAATTGGAACGCCGACTGCGAGCCAGGCCTAATCGCCCAACATCAGTGCCCGACCTCACTAATGCTCTTGTGGCTGAATGGAAGCAAGTCCCTGCAGCAATGTTCCAACATCTAGTGGAAAGCCTTCCCAGAAGAGTGGAGGCTGTTATAGCAGCAAAGGTGGGATCAAATCCATATTAACGCCCATGATTTTGGGATGAGATATTCGACGAGCAGATGTCCACATACTTTTGGTAATGTAGTATATCTTAGGTTCATTCTGACTATTTTGAGGAAGTAATACTGGCTTTGTTCCTATGGTGTCTCATGGGCACAAACATCAGTAACTGCCACATCAAACCACAGCCCCCAAGACTGAAATCTTGTTTTTCTTAATTGGTGCATTTTGTTGTTCTTTAAGAACTCCTCCACACTGTGATTACACTCTCTCCCTGCTCTCGCCTACCCAACTATTTGACACATGTTAACACATCTACAGTTCAAATTGGGGAATGTCAAGTGCTTTCAACACATGAGTTTAATTGGCACGTATTAGATCCCCATAACTATGTTTTAGAAGTAAACTAGAAAGAACATAGATCAGCAACCAAATTATCCATGCAGGTCATATCATCAAACATCTTTTACAGAGTGTAAGAGATCTTCAGAGGAATAAACGGAGGCGGAAATGTGATGTATTCCTATAGGGACCTCATTAGTGTCTATTGAACACAGAACATAGAATTGATGTTCTAATTAACTAGCTACAGTGCATATATGTTACAAGTTTGGCTACTTCAGAGCTTCAACTATGTCAAAGGTGTCAGTTACTTGCTCTCAATAACACTGAGACTGACCAATGGGAACATTTGAGAATCAGATGACGCCATTTCCTGGAAAAACAATCAGCATAGCACTAGCATTTCTGTCCTTCAAATCATTTGAACAATCAAGAATTAAGGGCCGAAATCTGTAACTTACGCAAATGTCTGAGTTACTCTTAAGTTTAAGACCCAAGCACTTAATCAAGGAAGTGAAAAATGCAATATATCACCTTGGCTTTGGTTTCAAACAAATATACTCTCAATGCAATTCGTTCCAGTGATAAACTTTAGCAACACTACTAACAGTGTAGTGCCAATAAGACATGATACAGTATGACACGTAACTAGTATGGATGTGAATGTTCTCATTAAAACAAGAGTTCTCAAGCTCTGGATCGGACTTGATTAGGTAAAGAACACTGCTAATGACATAGCAAGGGTGAAATGCGGCTCGATGCACATTAAACATTTAGACATCTTGGAAATGTGTTATTATATTGTCTACGTCTTGACTTTCAGTCATTGGGCAAACAGGCAAAAGTGCATCCCAGAAAATGACAAGCGATTGAATATGCCAACAATTAAAGAGCCTTTTAACTGTCCCATCGAATTGGATGAGTCTCCATGCCTTATTATTGCTGTCATCTAGTCAACATTATCGGTCTCCATGACAATACTGTAGACTGGGAAGACAGCTGTGTCATTGCCGCCCCAAACAAAAGCATAACAGAAAAATAGTCTTTAAAACTAAATAAATTAAATGCTAATTTAAAAAATAGTTCACAAACTTGCGGGGGCTCTCCAACAGCCAAATGATCTACCTTAATTTTTTCATTAAAAAATTAAATAATAATAATGTCATTCTGGATGTTTTTAATGCATTTAACTTTGGATATTCCTATAAGCTGAAGTACCTTGGCCATATCTGAGAAATGTGTCCATAGAGAAGACCCATAATAAATACTTAAAGTCGACACTCCAAACAACATCATACATTGTCTATTGACTTTGGAGCTCAACAGAGTGGTTTGGCATTCAACCGACAGATCCCATACCTTGTTTGTACTTCAACAGTAGTTCCCATATCCCCCTCCGGGCGTATGGGTCCACCCCCGCTGTGGGTTCATCCAGGATGACGATGTTGGACCCTCCCACGAATGCGATTGCCACCGACAATTTCCTCTGCATTCCCCCTGAGAGAGGACACAGTTCACATTTGGTCACTTTCTGCCTCCTTTAAAGGACACACTTTCTGCTCCCTTCAAAGGACACACTTTCTGCCCCCTTCAAAGGACACACATCCCCAATTCCAAATCGACCTCTGGCCTCTACACCCTAGACACTTGCGTGGTGGATCTTAATGAATTGGATAGGTATAGGTAAATAGGTACGATTAAAATAGGACTTTTTGTGCCCTTGAGAGAACATACAGGCCCAGTTCCAAATCAACCTCTGGCCCCTAGCTCCTGGATTCTGTTTCTCCACCTTGCCCTCTCATAGGGTAAGCATATTGTGTAAAATGATCCAATCATTTCAGATCCATGCAGTGGGGCCACAGTGTCTTCAGGTTTTATTTATTTCCTTTAAAATTTGTCAGATATAGACCTGAAAACCAGGTGTGTGGACTTCCTAGCTAATCAATGACCTTATTGATCGATACAGGGAAGAAACGAGAACCCAAAGACTGAATTTTAAACTAGCATTTACAGTGGCCCTCAAAGAATAGGCCTGATCCATTTTGACATTTCAAAAGCATATCTGTGTTCATTCTGATCAATTTCTTTGAGGGTTGGTCTTGATATCACTTACAGTTTGTCAGCTTTTTTCCCTTCATAATGGTTACGCTTTTGGTTGAAATCAAAACCACCAGGTGTCTTTCTCAATAAGAATAGGAAAACACTGTCATAGAATGGCAAGGTATGTACTGTAGCTTATGGTCAGTTTGACATTTTGTTAAAGATAGAACAAGTACATTAAACAATTATACTATTGATCGACAATGTTATTGCCAGTGTGAATATCATACCATTACTGACCGCAGATGACACACACACACTATTTTTATTTGAATTTGTATTTATTATGGATCCCCATTAGCTGTTGCCAAGCGAGCAGCTACTCTTCCTGGGGTCCAGCAAAATTAAGGCAGTTATACATTTTTTAAAACATTACAATATATTCATAACATATTTCACAGCACACTAAGTAAGTGTGTGCCCTCAGGCTACCTCAAATACCTTATTATTATCTATCCTGATGCCTAGTCACTTTACCCTGCCTTTATATACACATCTACCTTAAATACCTTATTATTATTATTATTATTATTATTATTATTATTATTATTATCTATCCTGATGCATATTCACTTTACCCTGCCTTCATTTACATATCTACCTCAAATACCGTATTATTATTATCTATCACTTACATTTTAGTCATTTAGCAGACACTCTTATCCAGAGCGACTTACAGTAGTGAGTGCATCCGTTTTCGTACTGGTCCCCTGTGGGAATCGAACCCACAACCCTGGCGTTGCAAGCACCATGCTCTACCAACTGAACCACACATGACTTTACCCTGCCTTCATGTCCATATCTACCTCAAATACCTCGTACCCCTTCACATTGATCTGGTACTGGTACTCCCTGTATATAGCTCCATTCTTGTGTATTTTATTCCTCTCGTGTTACTATTTTTATTTGTATTATTATTTTCTAAATCTGCATCGTTGGGGAGGGCTCGTAAGCAAGCATTTCACGGTAAAGTCTACACCCGTTGCATTCAGCGCATGTGACAAATAACATTTGATTTGATAACAAGCAGATACACAAATTGTGAAGAAACCTGATAGTGTATCAGGATAATGACTTTCCATCAGGCCTGTCGTGACATTGTTATCTGACATGTACTTTCCTTGCATTAAAAAGGTTGGATGGAAACCTGACACAGAACAGCCCATGCTGACACTCTGGGAGCTGTTGTGAATGTGTCCTGTGTTGTGCTAATGTAGTGGAAATGTCAGACTAGATTAACCTTGAATGTCATATTTCAGTGATTTTGTTCACATGCAATCCATGACTGGAGCCAATTTATCAAGCATATTTTTTGCCCCCCAGACAATGGATTATACAACTGCATTTCCACACGCACGCGTGCACTCACAGTTTGACAAGTGGTGGCTAGGGGACAGAGTTACCTAATGAAAATGTTATATAAAGCTACATTTGTGCATGATTATATTCCCTGGACACACGCACCTGACAGGTTCTTGGCAAGTTCCTTGCGTTTGTGTGGCAGCCCGACATCCTTGATCATTTGGTCCATCTCTATTTTCACTTCATCTCGGCTTCGTCCCTTTAATCTGGAGTAGAAGTAGATGTGCTCCTCCACTGTAAGGCTAAGAATCAGAAACAATCATTCGATTTATCAAATGTACAAAAAGTGGATCCAATGTACAAAAAGTGGATCCAATATTTTCTGCTTTTCCAGACTAAAGTGACAATAATAATAATAAAATGTTTGCTTATATATTATTTTAAATATATATTATTTAATTGTACTTAAAGTTACACGGGGTAGTCTCTCTTGAACTAAGCTTCAAATTAACTTTAACTGCTCTAACAAGATCATATGGTCCATCATGATTCATAGATGTCTTATTAGCACCTATAAGTACCCTCATCATCAACTCTCAACCTGTCATATTAATACAATCCACACAACTCTGACACCACTGATTCCACTCCAGCCAGCCGACTCCATTCATAATATGTCACAAACTTTCGTGGAATCATCTTGACTGCCAAGCCGGCGGGTTATCTGTGCGTACGTTTTAGCGTCCAGCCTACTTCCCATACACATGAATATTGAGAGCCCCTGTTTAATTATAGACAGTTCAGTTCGGTTGGGATAAATATTAATGGCCATAATTCGCCGGTACTCAGTCATAATCATGATGTAAGAGACGTGAGGCGCCGGTGGTCGCAGGTGATCACTCAGGGGAAAATGGAAGAGAACCCGGTTATGAGAGGGCATAGCGAACAATGTCAGCCAGTGAGTCTGCATCGTGGAATATAATGACACTATTAGAGGGAAGAAAGTGGATGGAATGAATAAAGCTTAGTTCGAAGTAGGTGCGAGGATGGGTGAGAATATTGCAATGATTTGAGATGCAAGTTACTGTAGATATTTAATTTGGAATACGTCCAACATTAACTGTGACACAAAATTTGACATAACATTTTCATGAAAATTGTCTAATTGTAAAGATGTTTTTCCTGTTGATTACAACTAGCTGGTCTCTATTACACCAAGACGTCTTTTTCATATCACAATTTAGACATCATGGGGGTCTGTCATATTTCGGCTGTTATCTGGTCAGACCTTTGCAAAACGTCCTTATACAACCAGTGCACAACCTGACCATGACATAGTGATGTCATTGCAATGAGTTTTGCGCGCTGGGATATTGAGAGGTGATTGAGCAATATTGATCCACCTGTTGAATGCCACTTACTCATTGAATAAGACATTGTGCTGAGGGCACATTCCCAGATGCTTCCTAATGGTGTCCATGTCCGTGCGGATATCATAACCGTTTATTAGAGCAGTCCCCGACGTCGGAGCGAAGAGTCCTGTCAGGATCGACCTATAAGTCAAAAGGAGAACAAGAAAATGTGCAGGGAAAGTGTGACGTGATCGAAAACCTTCATCCACAATTATGAATATAATTTTATGTACTTTGATATCTTATTGCAACACTTGGTATTAGTCAGTCTCTCTCTCTCTCTCTCTCTCTCTCTCTCTCTCTTGTATGTTCTCTCTCTCTCTCTCATCTTAACGTTACCTAACCTCTTGTAAACCTTTTTAGACCAGCAATTAAATAACTCCCCCTTCCATCCTGGCACTGCTGCTAACATACTGTATTGTACTCTCAGAAGGCTAGCCTCAACCTGAGTTGTGGCCTTAGTGCTAACTCCATGAGCTGAGAGCCATGCCAAAGTTATTGGATGAAAGGATTAAACTTTGAATGCAACAGAGCTGGAAGTTTGATATTACCAGTGGCTGTGTTGTAGATAGGCAGAGTGCAGCATGAACCAACAAACACAATCAACTTTGTGTAAGTAGTGTTACGGCCCTGAAAAGCACTATGTAATGTGCAACCATGGAGAGCTGCCAGTTTGTAAGTCCTCTCCTCACCTCTCTACTGTGATAGCTGATGTGTGTTGAGCTTTCTAGGGCAAAATGGCTGCCGTGGCATCACCCAGGTGGGTGTTACACATTGGCAGTGGATGATCTGAGTTGCATCTATACAATGTCAATCTCTTAAAGGGACAATGCACTCAAAAACTATCTTTAAGTTTTTTTTCTGTTTTTGAGGGAATTTCCCCTTTTAAAACCTAGAAAAGCACTACATAAATTCAGTCCATTTGTATTCTTGTGTTACTTACATGGTGGTAGTTTTTCCTGCCCCATTGTGACCAAGGAAAGAGGTGATGTGATTCTCGTAGAAGTCCACAGTTAGTCCATCCACGGCAAGCTTTTTTCCAGTTTTATAGATCTTCACAAGGTTCCTGATTGAGACCCCTGCTTTCATATTGAGTGGTGGCTTTTCCAAATAATCTTTAAAATAAAATACAAAAAAAAAACCATAGATATACATTTTTCTCCTTTATGACAAATTAAGGAATGTGACAATAGGTCACGTTTCATTAATGCATATATAGATGGTAAATAACAAATATATGTGCCTGTGTGGCTCAATAGGTAGAGCATGGTACTTGCAAAGCCAGGATTGTGGGTTCGACTCCTGGGCCACCCATAAGTAAAATGTATGCACGCATGACTGTAAGTCGCTTAGGATAAAAGTGTCTGGCATATATTATTTAAGTGATAATGCCCGAGAAGCCGGTGTTTGGAGGATATATTGGCACGGGTGTTGTTAGGCCCGAGACAAACACTTGCTTCGGGGGCATTATCACTTTTATACAACGGGTTACCAACATATTCAAATAATGATTTATATATTTTCATTAAAAACATTATTTTGATTAATTTATTCATACTATTTCATCCTTCCATGAGATATAGTCCCGACACAAATCGAAGGTTGCTACCCAAGCAGGCTGGTCGTTCGTTCTATCAGGTTCGGTTGCCAGAGACTTTGTTCTGTAAGTCTTTGTTCTGTATCTATGGACGCGACCCAGTCCTTCGTTCTAAATGTTCTATTGCCATACTGGCTGGCAACGTTCTTACCATTTGCTTGCTAGCTAGCCAACTACAGCTAACTTACAGTCACGTCAAACAGTGCAGCCAGAATAACAACAGTAGCTGCATTTGTTTAAGCTGTTTTCTAGTGACATTTATGTGGATACATCCATAACAATGAGCTAATGAAGCACGATTTTACCTGGCATAGAAAATGTGCTCTCTCGTCAGGACACTGTTGTTCAGAGGAGCTAGCCAACAACACAGCTAACACAATCACTTCAAACTGAAGCTAGAAAGACAGCAAACTAGCTGCATTTTTTTTGGACCTGTTTTCTATTTACATTTCTTTGTATATATACATGTAGGAGTCATGATTTCGACTGGCTGAGAAAAGCTGCCTGTCTGTCTCATTCCGACTCCTGACCCCGACACGTTCATTACAATGGGACAGCTGGAGATCAAATTTCAATATTGAAACAATGTTGCAAATGTCAGAGAGACAGACAGCAAGGTTTATACAAATCTCTGCTGTTGAAAACTAAAATGTTAGTCTAAAAGAAATGTGAGATTATGTCTAGATGCTTTTTATAGTGATCAAGTTCATAAATTGCCTGGCTGGGCTGATGAGACAGTGGATTGCGCAGTCAGATGGAACAGAGTAAATAGCATTTTAACCTCATAGATTTAGCTGGTGGTAACTTGTGGAATAGACACTGGCTGGAATGCAGTTATAACCAATCAGCATTCAGGATTAGACCCACCCGTTGTATAATATTATATTACATTAATAAGATGAAATTAGACTTTTGATTCATGTCCTCAGAAAAGCTACATTATATACAGTACTCTACCCAAAGCTCAAATAATTATGTTCCCTTAATTACATTTAAAAAAAGGTGTCTGATATTAAAGCAAAATGTAATTTATATACATTTTTATGTTACGGGTGTTGTGTGACACAGATAACAACAATTCTCTGCTCTCCCCCCTCAGAATAACACAATCAGTTTTAACTTCATTAGTGACACCCTGTGTCACATTTCCTATTGGCTGGAGGCTACCCTTTTCTGCTGTTCCCAGGAGCAGGTGTGGTGCTCACTTTGCACCTTCCATGCTCACTTAACACAGGAAAATCATGTTTTTGATTGCACTGGGCCTTTAACAGTCATTTACTAATGAGGCTTTGACTTTCAAAGCGCAACCTTGTTTTTCCCCTACCATCCTCTTTCTCCATTATTATCCAACACACAACCAAGGTGGTACCATCAGGAGTCTAGAGTTCTAATTAACTAGACTTATTGAGATTGCATTCCGTCTGTGATGGTAATGACCTGAGTTAAACCAGAAAAATAAATAAATGATGCGTAATGCCTGATTGAATAGGTCCACTATTGGATTGAGTGTGAGTTTGTGCAAAGATATGTGCGTGAAAAGCACTGCCTACTATACCGGTGTATTCAATGGGGTCCTTGAAATGACTGGGGTCAGCGTTGGGCGCCGGTGACGTCCCACACCAATAGGAGGCGGTGAAAGGGAAGTACCACGGCTTGGCTATTCCATATTGGCCTGTGATCAAGCATAGAGAAACATCATTCACATTTTAATAACAGCTTGGCTTGAGGGATGACGCTTTGCAGTGGATAGTTCCATCCATCTAGACTGGCACAAATCCCCCTCTTATTTTAATTAGAGAAGATGAGATGAATATATTATGGCAATCTGCTGGGATATTAAATATTTTCTGATTATTGACCAAAGTTGTTTTGGCAAGAGAGGAGCGTATCAATTCTGTGTACTCTGTGGATTTTATCATTACAGTATAACATACAGGTAACTACCAAAATAAAGGAAACACCAACATAAAGTGTCTTAATAGGGCGTTGGACCACCACAAGACGCCAGAACAGCTTCAATGCCCCTTGGCATAGATTTTACAAGTGTCTGGAACTCTATTGGAGGGATGCGACACCATTCCTCCACGAGAAATTCCATCATTTGGTGTTTTGATGGTGGTGGTGGAAAACGCTGTCTCAGGCGCTGCTCCAGAATCTCCCATAAGTGTTCAATTGGGTGACTGAGACGGCCATGGCATATGGTTTACATCGTTTTCATGCTCATCAAACCATTCAGTGACCACTCGAGCCCTGTGGATGGGGGCATTGTCATCCTATGGGAGCATTGCCATGGTAGCAAAAATAATGGCCAAAATAATGGCCTGCCCAGCATTTTCATACATGATGAGATGTTAATTGCTGAATTAACTCAGGAACCACACCTGTGTGGCGGCACCTGCTTTCAATATACTTTGTATCCCCCATTTACTCAAGTGTTTACTTTATTTTGGCAGGTACCTGTACATTTTGTGTATAAAATATACTGAACAAAAATAGAAATGCAACATGCAACAATTTCAAAGATTTTACTGATCTACAGTTCATATAAGGAAATCAGTCAATTGAAATAAATGTATTTGGCCCTGATCTATGGATCTCACATGACAGGGCAGGGGTGCACCCACTGGGGAGCCATGTCCAGTCAATCACAATGGGGTTTTCCCCACAAAAGGGCTTTATTAGACAGAAATACTCCTCAGGAGGTCCTGGGATGGCATGGGTACACATGGTCTGCGGTTGTGAGGCCGGTTGGATGTACTGCCAAATTCTCTAAAATGACTTTGGAGGCAGCTTATGGTAGAGACATGAACATTACATTCTCTGGCAACAGCTCTGGTGGACAATCCTGCAGTCAGCATGCCAATTGCACGCTCTCTCAAAACTTGAGACATCTGTGCCATTGTGTTATGTGACAAAACTGCACATTTTAAAGTGGCCTTTTATTGTCCCCAGCACAAGGTGCACCTGTGTAATGATCATCCTGTTTAATCAGCTTGTTGATATGCCACACCTGTCAGGTGGAGGGATTATCTTGGCAAAGGAGAAATGCTCACTAACAGGGATGCAAACAAATGTGTGAATTTTTTGGGGGGATAAATAAGCTTCTTGTGCGTATGGAAAATTTGGGGAATGTATTATTTCAGCTCATGAAACATGGGACCAACACTTTACATGTTGCATTTTATTTTTGTTCTGTGTAGTTTATCATACTTTACACACTTTCCCCCCAAGATCAGAGTACTATATTCATCACAATCCACTGGGCACAGATGTCAGTTCAATATCTATTTTTGATTTACATTTGGTCAACTAATATAAATTCAACGTAAAATCAACAAAACATGTCACAATGTCATTGGACATGTCAATTCCCTTACGTTGATGACTTTTTTCAAATCCAATCAGTTTTCCATGTTGATTCAACGTCATTACATTGAATTATTTTGTTTAAATGAAGCGGAAACAACGTTGATTTTTCAAATGTTTGCCCAGTGGGAAGGGTCAAAACTGTTCCATTTATGTACCGTTGAAGTCGGAAGTTTACATACACCTTAGCCAAATACATTTAAACTCAGTTTTTCACAATTCCTGACATTTAATCCTAGTAAAGATTCCCCGTTTTAGGTCAGTTAGGATCACCACGTTATTTTCAGAATGTGAAATGTCAGAATAATTGTAGAGAGAATGATTTATTTCAGCTTTAATTTCACATTCCCAGTGGGTCAGAAGTTTACATACACTCAATTAGTATTTGGTAGCATTGCCTTTCAATTGTTTAACTTGGGTCAAACATATTGTTTGTACAGATAAACGTGGTACCTTCAGGCGTTTGGAAATTGCTCCCAAGGATGAACCAGACTTGTGGAGGTCTACAATATTCTTTCTGAGGTCTTGGCTGATTTCTTTTGATTTTCCCATGATGTCAAGCAAAGAGGCACTGAGTTTGAAGGTAGGCCTTGAAATACATCCACAGGTACACCTCCAACTGACTAAAATTATGTCAATTAGCCTATCAGAAGCTTCTAAAGCCATGACATCATTTTCTGGAATTTTCCAAGCTGTTTAAAGGCACAGTCAACTTAGCGTATGTAAACTTCTGACCCACTGGAATTCTGATACAGTGAATTATAAGTGAAATAATCTGTCTGTAAACAATTGTTGGAAAAATTACTTGTGTCATGCATAAAGTAGATGTCCTAACCGACTTGCCAAAACTATAGTTAACAAGAAATTTGTGGAGTAGTTGAAAAATGAGTTTTAATGTCTCCAACCTAAGTGTATGTAAACTTCCGACTTCAACTGCACATTATGTTCATGTTAGTGGGACATACGTTACTAATCAATGACACTTCATCCACTAACAGATGTCATTATCTACAGCACTCACAGTCAATACTAGGACCATTCAGGAGAATGCTAAACTGACCTAGGGTCACAGATTGGGGCAACTTCACCATAATGCTCACTGTCCATATTAGGACAGTCACACCTTTACGGAAGTTGTGTCAGATTCACTTGGAGTTGGAGAATCCTAATATGGAACATTACGGTGTACACTGTAGGGTGAAGTTGCCCCAATACACTGATCTTGGGTCAGTTTAGCCTTTTCTCAACTAATGGCTAGGATTGGGGAGAGGATCCTAGATCTGTACCTAGGGGACACTTCACTCGAGGAGAGTGCATTACTGATGGCGGTCTCATTAATGAGTTACCTGGGAAGACGTTCTCGATGTACCACGTGAGTAGCCAGTAGATGAGGGCGTCGACTAGCATCATGATGATGGACACGATGAAACTATACCGGTCTCCGTCTTCAGGACTTTGGGCGATGTTACTCCACTGAATACCGATGCCCTGCTCCTCGTACTTGGCGAGGTTCTCACAGCCGTACCCGAAGGCCACGCACGACAGCAAACTCTGGAAATGGATGCAGTTTAGATGTGATTGGTTATTATTTAAGAGTGGACGTCAGGATCATGTCAGATTATCATTATCATCTTCAACATCAGTGTGGCAGAGCATGTCAGGAACATCAAGGCACATTTTTTTTGCTGATTTTCATTCTAGCCTTTGACTATGATCGTTGGCAGACATAGCCTTGGTAAATTGTGGTCATGTTCAATAGGGCAAAATGTAGGAAAAACATTTTGCAACAGACAACACCAATCTGTGTTCAAATTGGACAAATTCCACCCTGGTATGTGGACACTCTAGTCTAGCTAATCAATGTCAATTATTGATAAATTATTTCCTTTAAGTACCAAGAAGTATAGAACATCAGCAGACACGACAGCGGCTTTTGAGGACTGGATTTGTGCAGCCCAAGAAGTTCCAGCTTGTCAAAGAAACAAATGTGGAGGGCAAGTCATGTGGTACAAACAAAGACGGGTTACATCTTTCATACCATAGGAAATAGCTAGGGAAATGGCAAATGATGCTTTGCCTATGACAAATCCTCTGGTACAGCCGATCACTCTCTTCTGCATGTTGCCTGCCAGCTGTTTGGGCATGCTTCATTTACCCCAAGCGTTTAAGCCCAGCCAGATGCCACAAACACTTAAAGGAAAATACCACTCAAAAACTAAATTTTGCTATTTGCTCCATTAGTCCACTGTTGATATAGTCCCAAAATATTTAGCATGTCAGCAATCAAGTTCAAGATATAGAACTTTCAAAATACAGAAAGTGTCACAGTATGACGCATGGACTAATTATACAAATGTGACCATTTCAAGAAGCTAGGGATATGTCACACGTCACTACTTCACAGGAGAGGCATTTTTTTTTTCTTATTTATTTATTTATTTAACCTTTATTTAACCAGGTAAGCCAGTTGAGAACAGGTTCTCATTTACAACTGCGACCTGGCCAAGATAAAGCAAAGCAGTGCAATAAAAACAACACAGAGTTACATATGGGGTAAAACAAAACATAAAGTCAACAATACAACAGAAAATATATATACAGTGTGTGCAAATGTAGCAAGTTATGGAGGTAAGGCAATAAATAGGCTATAGTGCAAAATAATTACAATAGTATTAACACTGGAATGCAAGAGATTATGTGCAAATAGAGATACTGGGGTGCAAAAGAGCAAAATCAATAACAATATAGAGATGAGGTAGTTGGGTGGGCTAATTTCAGATGGGCTGTGTACAGGTGCAGTGATCGGTAAGGTGCTCTGACAACTGATGCTTAAAGTTAGTGAGGGAGATAAGAGTCTCCAGCTTCAGAGATTTTTGCAATTCGTTCCAGTCATTGGCAGCAGAGAACTGGAAGGAATTGAACGTCTATTTTTAATTTTTATCCCCAAAATCTTTTTTTGGGCAGAAATGCCTTCTTGAACATGTTAACTTTTATGTGCCTTCTGTAAATACGAATACAATTGTTAAATTACGAGCCTATCTGGTTTAGTAACGGAAAAAGACAGGAACCTTACCGCTAGCCATGATTGGCTGAGATAATGGATGGGCTGGACATGCCGAGAGATGAGTTTGGATTGGTCTGACATGCAGCACGCGTCTGTCTATAACATGAGCTGCTCAGTATATGTAGATAATCCTTGCTACCGTGGCTTTTTTGAAAGATATAACGTTAGCCATGGAGATCTGCAAAAGTGTTGCTACTGCTCTCAACAACATTGCTGCCCAGAATTTAGCAGGCACTATCAACAAAGATCAGTGGGAAGAAGTTGTGATGGACTACTTTTCTGCACAAGTTCAGTGTGAACCGGAGTGACTTGACACAACAACGGACTAAACAAGCTGTAGGTAACTACAAACCAAACGGAAACGCTGCCGTGAAGCGTTCATCCATGTATACGTGTCTAGCTAAATTTTCAGATATTATACGTTTCAAATATTGTCAGAAATTCATTTTCATTGCAAGTTAAAGAGTACTTTTAGCTAGCTAGCTAACGTTAGCTTGCTGGGTCACTAGCTAATGTTACGTGTATGATCTGTGTAGTAATATTATTTGTATCTCAGAAAGCCATTTGCATTGCTAGTTATGGCCTAATGTTAGCTAGCTAGCTACCATTGAACCTAGTTGGTTAGCTTTATCTACCTGCAGATTCATACTTCAGCATTTCATGCATAGTTGCTAGCTATGACAATCCGTTTGTACTGTAGCTATGGGCTGGGATTTTTTAGCTAACTAGCTACATGTCTAAACAAAAGATACTTCGCAAGATAATGATTACATGACCCATCAAGTTAGCCAGGTGTGTCTGGGGGTGATTACGGCCATCTTTTGTATTTAATGAACATGTGCACATGTATAGACAATAGTGACCCATCCACTTAGCTAGACTTAGCAAGACTTTTAGTCTTGAAATCTTTGGTAGTTTACTACACTACCTTACTCACTCTGTTTAGCACATGGCCTCACGTGTGAATCCTTAAAGAAATGGGTGGGGCTAAGGCTTAAGAGGGTGTGAATGACGTTGAATGGGTGTAGACAAAGAGCTCTCCAGTAGATGTACCAAAACATTCAAGGGACATTTTCTCAAAAGTGTCTGATCTGACCGCTGTCCGCAGTCTCTCTATGCACAGCCACTGGCACCCATTCAACTGTCGCCCAAGGTCGGACACGTTCGCCTGCCAAACAATGGGCAGCCAACCACCGGACAAGGGGTGAAGGCAGGGCAGTGAATGATCCCTCCATGACCTTTGAGTGACAGGCTGACAGAGCGACGGTGCGGCCAGTCTGACTTTGAGAAGGGCAGACACAGCAGAATCAAACACAAACAGACCACCCGCTATGAAAACACGTCAACATGACAATACGGAGGCCACAATACGTACCCAGCCGGCGGAAAGAAGGAAAAAGCTACTAGCTCTCAGTTACAGAGCTCTCACAGATGACAAACAATGCATTTACATCTGAAAGGAGGAGGATCCTTCATTTGTTTGTGGAGGAGGTGAATCACAGGAAGAAAATAAAAAAACTGGATGCTGGAGAGATAATTGGATTTTGTATTTGTCCCATCTTATTGCTGTCCCTGTGACATCACACACACAGCCAATGCCTTTGCTTATGAAAACTCCTCGAATCACAACACTGTCATTAAATTGACATTCTTTTTCATTATTCAAATGCAGTGGTATGAATATGATATCAAAGACACGCGCAATACTGGGTGGGTGTTGGGTTTTGTGTGTGTGTTTCTGTGTTTGTGTGTGTGTGTCTCTGTTTGTGTGCGTGCGTGTTTGTGCCTGGGAACAGTGTACTTTCTTCTATGTTGGGAAGGAAAAAAACATCCCTACACTATAATAAATAAACTACAGGGATGGACTGTAAGTCAACGTGGTCAGAGGAACACTGTTCATGCAAATGAAAGGAGTAGACCATCCGTCTAAGCAGGGGAAGCAGAGGAAGGACATCTCAATGCCAAGGGCACAACTCCACAAAGGCACTTTGGCTGAGGAAGAGTGCACAGAATAAAATTGCTCAGTAAAGCAGTGTTTTTTTCTCCCCTCAACATACAATATATATGACACACACAGGTAGAAAAGTGGAGATGCCACGAGGAGAACTGGCAACTTTTCCACACAAGAACACAATAAATACCCTGATACGTAGAACACAAACTACTCTGAGAGGAGATCAATTTGTGCCATCGAGTTGGCATTGCTTGTTTGAATGCTGGGTTTAAAGGAAGTAGTGTATACCGGCTTAGAAATATACACTATATATACAGAAGTATGTGGACACCCCTTCAAATTCGGCTATTTCAGCCACACCCGTTGCTGACAATTGTATAAACTTGAGCACACAGCCATGCAATCTCCATAGACAAACATTGGCAGTAGAATGGCCTTACTGAAGAGCTCAGTGACTTTCAAAGTGGCACCGTCATAGGATGCCACCTTTCCAACAAGTCAGTCTGCCCCGGTCAACTGTGCTGTTCTTGTGAAGTGGAAACATCTAGGAGCAACAACGGCTCAGCTGCGACATGGTAGGCCACACAAGCTCACAGAACGGGTCTGTCCTCAGTTGCAACACTCCCTAACAAGTTCCAAACTGCCTCTGGATGCACAATAACTGTTAGTCAGTAGCTTCATGAAATGGGTTTCCATGGCCAAGCAGCCGCACACAAGCCTAAGATCACCATGCGCAATACCAAGCGTCGGCTGGAGTGGTGTAAAGCTCGCTGCCATTGGCCTCTTGAGCAGTGTAAATGCGTTCTCTGGAGTGATGAATCACGCTTCACCGTCTGTCAGTCCGACGGACGAATCTGGGTTTGGCGGATCCCTGGAGAACGCTACCTGCCCCAATGCATAGTGCCAACTGTAAAGTTTGATGGAGGAGGAATAATAGTCTGGGGCTGGTTTTCATGGTTCAGGCTAGGCCCCTTAGTTCCAGTGAAGGGAAATATTAATGCTACAGCATACAATTACATTCTAGATGATTATATGCTTCCAACTTTGTGGCAACAGTTTGGGGAAGGCCCTTTCCTGTTTCAGCATGACAGTGCCCCCGTGCACAAGTGAGGTCCATACAGAAATGGTTTGTGGAGACCGGTGTGGAAGAACTTGACTGGCCTGCACAGAGCCCTGACCTGAACCCCATCGAACACCTTTGGGATGAATTGGAACGCTGACTGCGAGCCAGGCCTAATCACCCAACATCAGTGCCCAGCCTCACTAATGCTCTTGTGGCTGAATGGAAGCAAGTCCCTACAGCAATGTTCCAACATCTAGTAGAAAGCCTTCTCAGAAAAGTGGAGGCTGTTATAACAGCAAAGGGGGCACCAACTCCATGTTAATGCCCATGATTTTGGAATGAGATGTTCGACAAGCAGGTGTCCACATACCTTTGGCCATGTAGTGTAGAAAACACACAAAGCATTGTCACATGCCAAAGTAAGATACGAAGCCGCGGCCTGAAAATATATTTCAATTTCGATAAATAAGGAAACATGGTTCTACTTGAAAGATGTGTCTAGGCCCCATGGCAATAAAGATTAAGAATTGCTGCGTCTTTGTGTCTGCAGAACGGACGGCTCCAGGACAAATGATCCCACACAGAACATAAAGGTCAATCAGAAACGCTACAATAAAAGTTGAGCATGTATATGCTATTCATCTTTTCATTCCAAAGGACAGAATCACGTAAAAACTACCCCATGGGTTTATTCAGTCGCACTTATCCGCTTTCTCAAGTATGTGCATCATAAAGTCTTGAGTTATATGACTGAGTGCTTGTACTTCTGGCAGAGTCGGAAAAGTAATATCCCCATTCGAAGTAAACCTTAAAAGCTCAATAACTGCACCCGTATAGGAAATAAAAAACACGACTCGATGTTATTAGAAAACCAGAAGTTCACGTTGTCAGAGGAAATCAACGTCTCCAACTTTGAGATCACAGAAAACAGACAGAAGTATTGCAAATTGCATCTTGTGTACGGGCTAAGGGCAATGGGATACATTCCAAAACACATTAACCTAATGTGAAAAGGTGGGAGAGATCAATATATATTTGGATCAAACGAAACCGCAAATAGAACAACATTATTATTAAGGTTAAGGTTATTGAAGTTAACTATATAGATCTGATGATACATTGGTAGAGTTAAAAGATTGAGAGAAGAATGGTTACAGGGAACATAAGGATATCATTAGTACCTCGTTTATAATCCAAATTATTATTGTGTGTCAGAGCAAGGATCTATAGTTCAGGTCATGGGGATTGCACAGTGTTTGGATATTATCCCAGCATCTGTACTGTGCGTGTGTGTGTGGGCGCAGTGGTCTAAGGCACTGTATCGCAGTGCTAACTGTGCCACTAGAGATCCTGGTTCGAATCCAGGCTCTGTCGCAGCCGGCCGCGACCGGGAGACTCATGGGCGGCGCACAATTGGCCCAGCGTCGTCCAGGGTAGGGGAGGGAATGGCCGGCAGGGATGTAGCTCAGTTGATAGAGCATGGCGTTTGCAACGCCAGGGTTGTGGGTTCGATTCCCACGGGGGGCCAGTATAAAAAAATATGTATTCACTAACTGTAAGTCGCTCTGGATAAGAGCGTCTGCTAAATGACTAAAATGTAAATGTAAATGTAACTATTCACAAGAATATTAAACGAACAAAAATTTGGCCAACTGGGGACATTTTGTTAGTCCCCACAAGGTCAAATGCTATTTCTAGGGGATTTAAGGTTAGAATTATTGTTAGGGTTAGAATTACGTTAAGGGTTAGTTATAGGGTTAGGGTTAGGTTTAGGGTTAGGATTAATGTTGGGGTAAAAGTACGGGTTAGGGTTAGGTTTAGGGTAAAGGGTTAGGGAAAATATGATTTTGAATGGGACTGAATTGTGTGTCCCCACAAGGTTAGCTGTACAAGACTGTGTGTGTGTGTGTGTGTGTGTTTGTGTGTGAGAGAGAGAGAGAGTGAGTTTATTTCAGTAACCCACTTCACTCGTCCTTGTTTAGATTCACATTGGTCCTGTAGACCCACAGGGTGTGCAGGCTTTTGTTCTAACACAACTGAATTGAACAACTCACCAAGGGCTTGATGATCAATTCATTTATTGAATTAGGTCTGCTATTTAAGTTGGGATTGTGCCTGGTATTTACTGTATGTTTCCAGGCTGAACCCCACAACTCTCTCGGTCAAAGTACAAACTTAATCTCTCTTCAATACCATAACAGAATCCCTTACCGAGTCTTCAATACAGTTCCAAACCCAAACCGTAATAAACACCCACTGGGTCTCTGCTGTCCATTATGGGCCTGTCGTGGAAGGTACAGTAGTTCCATAGGTCAACTCACCACAGCAATTTTGACCTGGAACCCCATGACGTCCCTCCAGGCGTAGCAGAGAAGGTGTGGCAGGTAGAGGACGAAGTAGATGAGGCCTCCGCACGCCGCCGCCAGGTTGGCCTTGGAGAAGAAGACGCTGATGAAGAAACACTCCATGATGGTGGCCACACAGAAGACCAGCAGGAAGACGAAGATCACCGAAGGGTCGCTGTACTGCAGCACCTTCCCATACTGCACCGGGAGAGGGTGGGAATGAAAGGGGATAATAAAAGGGACAAGAGGGGGGGAAACAACACTGTGGCCCTGTTCGAAATGCTTCTTTCCTCATGTTCATCTGTAAGTGATGAGTGATAGGTGACAGCAGTTTGAGGGTTCTTTAGATGGCGGATGGATGACTATGTAGATAAACACTGGATGGAGACAAATTACTCTTTTGCAGATTTTGCAGATCACATCCATGCATTAACTAAACTTCTTCCTGTACTTCTGCAACAATTAACAAACATCTAACCAATAAGAAAAAAGGAAAGTAGTTGCTGGTAGCTCATCAATTACCATTACAATTCCAAACAACTGATTCACCATATTTTAGAACTACAGAACCGTGACTTAGAAAATAATTATATCTCATATAAAAAATAATCCTACATTATCAGGGTTTTACTTTCACCAATCCAAACATTTTAGATCTGTGATTACTTCAAGGAAGGAAGAAAGGAAGGATCTATTTCGAAGTATTCGAACACGGCCATTGGTAGTCACGAAACTACCCTAGTTAGCACTTTGGGAGTATTGATTGCCAATGCATGTTTGAGCCATAACCATTTCTTGTGTCTAGCAGGCATCTTACAAAAAAAAACTGAGTGATCATGACTGATTTTGGTGATTAACTTATTATTTGTGAAGAGAGCACGAAGCAGAACAAAAATAAAGCTTTTGATTAAAATGACTCATTGTTGATGATTTGATAAGCAGTAGGCAGGGTGACTCACCAGGTGTTGATAGCGTCTTACTCCTACTAATGTATCACTTGTTGTACTTCTAACATACCGTAGCTTCAAAATATGATTTACTATCACGTTGACGTAATGGACTGTCAGTCCTTGCATCCATAACTCCCTCTATGGATTTGAAAGTGGTTACACTTCCCCAGCCCCATTCCAATAGCAATCCACTTGGTGGAGCTGCCATTTTGTAGTTTTTTTCTAATAAAAGGAGTGAGCCTTTAATTGTTAGTCTATAGTTAGTTGTAATATAAGTGGCGTCACTCTGCTTAGCTGCATTACAAGGAGACCCTTTCCCAGTCTTGGAGGTCTGTCCACCAGAGCAACTCAAGTCTTTGATTACACTTCATTACAATGTTCATTGAACAAACCCAAACCCACTGAATACAGTCATTAGGAGTATTGATACACCACTGGTTTGTTACAAGTAGTGGTAGCCAAGCTAACAGCCTCATCTAAATTGATAAGAAATGTTGCTAGACTAGGCCTAAGTCTGCTGTTTGGTATTACTTCTTATGATTGTTTATTAATTGTTTATTACATGCTAATATTACAATACACCTTATCACTTCCCTCTAGCCCAGCCATTGACATCCTAAGCCTTGCAATGGGAATGAGTTGATACCCGTTTCCCACAGCCCTCCAAGAAGTGGTAAAAGGTCTCCCTGAATTAGAGTTGAATCAGTGGTGAATCACCTTGAGGATGAGGGTGAGGAGGAGCGCACTGACAGCCAGCGGCAGCACGCTGGACACGGCCCAGCTCAGCCAGTAGGTGGAGCTCCTCAGCCCCATCATCCTCACCGTCTCCTTCAGACGCGCCTCCTTCTCCATAACGATGCCCTTCACGATCATGGCCACCGAGTAGATCCAGGCCAGGGTCAAGTATAGGGGCAGAGACTGCGCCAGCGAGCGGAGGAACCTAAGGGGGGAGGGGTCGGATGGGAGAGGACAGGGGCAGGGTGTACACGTCCAAGTCACATCTGGATGCTGATTGAGATTTTCTACTATCGTCGTGGCAATAAACTTGATATTTTGATTTAGAGCAAATTGACTTGATTTGACTTATCAATGGTGGTTGTGGTCATGACTGGTGGTGATAGCATTCAAGTGGCCTGAGATATGGATTTCCAACGTTTTGACCTCGTTCAATTCCTGCAAAGTACTGTATCAACTTACAGTAGTTTTGAGGTGTACTGGCGCATGTGGAAGACTCTCAAAGAAAATATGAACGTTATCCACATACACTGAAACGACTTTCACCCACTGGACACAGACGTTCGTTTTGATTTACATTTGGTTGAGTTGTCAACTAACGTGAATTCAGTGTGAAATCAACCAAACATTTCACCATGTCATTGGATTTAGGTTAAAAGTTGGGTGAAAAAATACAAAATTCCCTTACGTTTATGACTTTTTTCAAATTCAATCAGTTTTCCACGATGATTCAACGTCATCACATTGAATTTTTATGGTTGAAATGACGTGGAAACAATGTTGATTCAACCAGTTTTTTCCCAGTGGGCAGTAAGTACATTATGAGGTGGTGTTAGATGTAGAGTAGAGAGGGTATGTTGATCACCACTAAAGTCATATTTCCATTAGGGAACATGGTCTGTGAAGAACCAAACCAATCTGTTGATTTACCCAACAAATGCTTCATCTTATTTTTGCCTTCATTGAGAAGCAAAGAAAGGCCACAGTGTTTGGGACAACAATATGAATAAACACAGATCAGGGGGAACTCAGGTGTGGATGACAAAACTTGTGGCAGTCCCACATAATCCAGACACAGCAGTCAAATAATTGCCTTTTGATTCCCTGTTTTACAAAATGGCCATGAAAATATCATTAATAATAATAGCTGGGCTCTATGATTTGAATACACATCATGCCCGTGTAGCTCAGTTGGTAGAGCATGGCGTTTGCAACGCCAGGGTTATGGGTTTGTTTCCCACGGGGACCAGTATGAAAAAAATGTATGCACTCACTAACTGTAAGTCGCTCTGGATAAGAGCGTCTGCTAAATGACTAAAAATAAAAAATAAAAAAAATCCCAGTGGTACCGCCAAGGCACCCAACTAACTCAATGTATTGTTATTAATGTTTACAAATTGCTGATGGCTGGCAAACACATTAGGGTGATGGGGAAATTACGTTTTGCCCAGCTGTTCAAATATCAATTGTTTTTACTAGGAGCATTTTCCAATTAAACTGCAAAAAATGTATTAGCTGATCTAATAATACATAATCCTTTTCTTTTTTATTTAACCATGCATATGAATTAGGAGACTGAAAAGGGCACCGTACCTTTAAGAGGCAGATAAAAACAATGCAAATATGTTTGTGTGGTGATGAGCAAACAAAATGGCCACCTCATTGTGATAATGGTTCTATAATTTAGCTTAGACGCACATTAGTCCATGGACAGGGGATCAATTTAACAGATAGGTCACTTAATTACACGCGGCAGGATCAATGACACAGAAGAGTGATGTACATTTAAAGCTACAGAGCAACAGCTCATGTGTCTCACATCAACAACAACAGCTTTAAGAGTGATGCCGTTCAGCAATGACTAGGTGAAAGCTATATGTAACACAGGACATTTTGATGCAGAGTATGAAAGTTATCCAGAGGACATACTGTATGTATATGGCAGTGAACAGGACCATTATACAACACTGAACACAGTGTTCGTACTGTCATACTGTACATGATTATATAGAGTCACTCAGAGGCCATATCGAGTCGGCCATATCCAGTCTAATGTGATATTCCGGTAAGCATCAAATATTGCTTTGATTCTGTAAATGCACAGCATAACAGATTTTTTTTATTTTTATATAGCTTCTCAAAATGGATCCATTCTCAATGACTGACATTTTATCCAAAGACTTGTCTCATACCCAGTCTCGATGGGTGGAATACTGTCTTTCCTCTAGTCGCACCAGTATGACTCTCCGGAGTGTCACTGGGGAAGTTGTGTCACATCGATGATAAACATAATTCATGTTTGAATAGCATGCAAAGAAAGGTGATGCAATCACAGGAAATACAGGCAAATGATAAACAACAGGGCTGATTTTAATGGAGGGAAATTACGATTTTAGTACCATGCTCAACAATTAGCATGATATAGTGGAAATGTAGATAGGTCATACCTGATTCGTTTTTTTTTTATTGGTATTAGTTATCCCACAATTAACAGGAGCAAGAGTAACAAAGAACAAAGCACAAACACTTTACAAATCAAATATATTTTAGATCCTGTATAACAAAAAATTGTGCACCTGTACACTGTCCTAATATGGACACTTGCTCTGATTAATTTACATTCTTCTCTTAAATAAAACAATGTTTTCTTGTTACTTCTCTTTAAACAATATAGCACTTCAAACAGCACTGTACCTATGCTGCATTTACACCAACGTGGATGTGTTTAATTGACTCTTTAGGTAAAGTTTATTTAACTTGCCTGGTAATCTTATTCTGTATTATTGTGCACACTAAGTAGGACTATCAGAAAACAATATACTGTACAAGCTCAAGGACAGTCAATGACAACTGGTGGAATCTGTTACTCCACATCAGTTTAGTTTAGTAACCAAGTGATATTGTGCTTTGTTATTTGAAAGTCGTCATCATTCTCAGTACTGACCTTAACCATGACACTTATGAATGCGCATGGGACCATGAGCAGCACAAAGTTCTCGGTGAACCACGCAAACCAAATGGCACCGTTCTGAACACCGACGGCCCGCTGAACCTCCTTGAGCCTGAGCTCCTTCTCCAGGACGAGGCCCTTGATGGTCATGCAGACGGTATACATGAACGCCAGCACCAGGTACATGGGAAGCATGGTTCCGATACTCGCGAGGAAGCTGGTGGGTGCAAAGGGAAGGCAAGGGAGGCAATCGAAGAGGTCATGAAACAGCTAAGCCTGTGATATCGACAAGCCCAGGCTTTGATAAGGGAAGGCAATGCAGCCAGATGGGAGCTAATGCATTATTTATTGATAATCTGTTGTATAAACCCCACTCCTTATGTCAAGACAGAGCTCTCGCAATCAGGTTTTCAGAGATGGGCTGAATGAGGCATGTTGTACAACTAACAAAAACAAAATCAATCTTCCAGAGCAATCTTGTCCAATGTCTTCAAATCAATGTGTATCTTGAGTTCGGAATCAGCACTTAGTTTAATGTACTAACATAGTCTTTCACACATGTTGTTCTGCTCTTGTCTTACTATCATAGCTAAGCATAATAATGTACTGAACAGGGAGCCTTGGCAACCATTGTTCTATTGTTAAAATGGCCTCTAGTCATTTTGAGAAATTCAACACAGTTTTGGATAACACTTTGTCTGAACACTCCTCATTTTTCATCCGTTGAACGGACCCTTGCCCCTTAGAAGAACGAGAGAGAAAATAAGTTCTGTTGATGCAGTAAATGTCATAGTCCCAACAGATGATCCATTAAGATAGACACACTCTGGGAGTTTTTAATCAAGGGTCCAATACGTTTATAGATTCAGCTCTATTATAAGGGGATTTTACATTGAGCTAGCCTTCATAAATCTTGTGCATCAGCTCTATCTAACCATCTAGAACCGCCCGCCATACTCAGGATGACGGATCATTTGATGATGTTTCAATAGAATCAGACAATATTAAAGCAGGTTGGTGGCATTTATTGGGATGACTCATGACCTGGAGGCAGTTCTGCAGGGTAGTCACTAGCTGGCACAGCCACAAAGTCTCAAAATCTGATTTTAAACCTAACCCTTACCTGAAACCTAACCTTAACCACACTACTAACCCTAATGCCTAACACTAACCTTAAATGAAGACCAAAAAGCTAATTTCATGTTTTCATGGAATTGTTAAGATATATAGTCAATTTTGATTTCCATCTAGTGGAAATCACTCAGCTCTGCCTCCAAGATAAGATTCATCCCAATAAACTTCAACCTGCAACATTAAACACACTTCATAATGCCACCAAAATGCCATGTCAATACCTTGTACGGCACCAATATAATAAAGTGCTGCCGTTGCTCTATTAGACAGTGAAGAAGATATATCAAATGGATTGAGCCTTTGACAAAGTAAAGATTTCACATATCAATTATGCTTACCGACCATAAATACAATCCTTAGAACGCCAATGAAGCACCGGTTTATCACGGTTAGGCAGGCAGGACAAAGGGACTATATATACCATAATAGGCAGAACGGTGTCCCACTTGAACATTAAGAATTAATGAAAGTACATTTCCCGTGCATTTACATTGGGCTAATTTCTCGGCTAGCTTTTGGGCGAATGATTTGTTAAGGGGCTTTTGAAACTCGGCCAATTGAAAACGGGCCGGCACAAAAGCCTACTTCCATTAATTGGTAATTCGCCCCTTACAATGAGGACCATTTTCACGAGGAACACAGGAGCAGACAGGTTTTTTCTCTCTCTCCAGCGCCTAAAGATTTTCTCCAAACCTAGCTGAGTTAGTAGGGGCAGATGTGAGCATAGAAACATGGGTAGTGGCTCCCCAGAGATGTTAAAAACACTATAAAGTTGATATGATATCACGGGCCAATGTCTCATATTAATTGCAAATTAAGGCGTGATCCGCTAGGATAGTCCATTTACGAGATGAGAAGTGCCTTTTAGAAAGCCCTCACCTGCCCCCTTCACTACCATATGCCAGAATGCAAGCACCGCAAAATAGACATTTCTAACCATTTGTGGAGAGAATTTGGAGTTGTGCCTAGCTTTGAAAGACATCAACCAAACGCTGTCTCTCAGTAGTACCAATTAGGGAGTCAGAGGGGAATTACTGTGTACCCTGTCCTCTACCTCCCAATGTAGAGACAGCCCTTGTGCCCAATGTGACAGAGAAAATGTAGTAATGCGAGTGCTTGAATGGGAGCGACCTGGCTTCGAGGTCACTTCCTGTTCTCTCGTGTGATGTATCACTTTCACAGGAAGCATAGTAAGCCACAAGAAGGGTTCAAGTTAACACCACCAAGTTTCTAGGTGTAGCACACAACACTGAAACAGAATAGGAGTGTCAAAAAAGTTGGGCTTTAAATATGTGTGTGTGGAATTCAAATAAAATAAAATGTCTAATGTCAACATAGGTCTGCTTAAGAGCTTGAAGTAAAGAAAAAAAAAATGAAAAAAATGAAAACAGTGGTTGTGTTTCAGTTTCAATCTATTTTTGACTTTAATCATTAAGTTTTTTGTAACTGATACTGAAACTGCAGAACATATTTTCAACTCTCTACACCCTTTTGGGATGCATTTCAATACTAGATTACATAAAATGATCTTATTATACCCACTTTAAAATAATAATGTCAGATTTTCTTTCCTAATGGAGGACAGAAATGTTGAATTTATGTACAATAATTTGATTATTATGGCAAAATATTTCATACACAAATGTTCTTTCTTAAAAACGACCCCCCTGTTTGTAATATTTTTGAATGAGGTTACATTGTACAAGACATCTTTGAAATTATTTAAATCTAAAGAAGCCCTGTCTTTATAGTAACTTTTGTACTCTGATCCCTGATTAGACCACTTTGTGTCTTAGTTGTATTTATTTATGTTTAATTGTATTTTCTGTTATTTATTTATGCTTTTTCTAGTTGCTCAGTCTGTTTATTAGAACATGTGATTTTTTGTATGTAAAATGTGCGTATTTGAACAAAATAAACAAACAAACAACAAGCTCGTGCCTCAGCTAACAGTTGCATCAAATTGAATTGTAATCCCCTTATTACCGAGTCCTTATTATATTGTAATATCTCTTTAATGGGGCAATCTGGGATTCAAACAACATTGATGTACCAATTCCAGATTGCCCCTTTAATGGTTGCCAGCCTGCGACCGTTAACTCCTTGTCGACTTGTCACTGTAGAGTTGATCAGTCATGCACACCACGTTTGACACTGACAACCTTGCCACCAGATGCTCCTGAATAATACATTGCTGATCGATTTGAGGATGCTTAAATAATATAAGTCCTACTGTGTGCATGTTACAGGGCTTGAGTTACATCACCACCGTGACCTAAATTTAGGAGAGTTGGGAGACTCAGGGTTCTTAGTAAATCAAGTGATATGGGGAGCAGAGAAACCCCAGAGAATAGTGTAATTAGATAGTTGGTTGGTATGTTTTAGAGATCATTTTGACTGCCGCTGCAAACATTTATGTGTGTAGACGTGGTGACTCTCAGAAATCTAGCCGAAGTATCTACTGTTTAAAAGTACATTTGGTCTCCTTATTGTTGTGCAAATAGGCACAAAGGGGCAGTATCGTTGATGTAAATCTGTCTCTTGTATTGCAGATAATACATCCTTTTCATGTTTGCAAAGTAATACTGCAGGATAGTGGAGTCACAATACTCATTGGCACTTTATATGCCTTTGCTGTAAACAATTTCAAAAGCCTCATAGGAACCTTTCCTGTGCAATATCCACGTTCTATGTACGTTATTGTAATTACGTTCTGATACAAAAACAAGATGGCATTGTTAAATGACTATTGATATGGAACAGCATTGAGTTACAAACAGTTGATTCTCTGATTCGAGCGCAGCAGAGATTTGTTTTCCATATCAATCAATCCATTTCTTACCTCGACCCTAAAGGCCGAGCAACCCGAGCTCCTATCCTCAGCCTTCATCACATGGTTGGCGTGTGAAATGTGACAAAAACATGGAGATAATAGATTTGCTAAAATTCATTAACGTAAATGGTTGTTTGGAGGGTGAAATTGTAACCACAGGATTATGTCATCATGTTGGTTGTGCTTTTAGTGTAGTGATCCCGATCTCACATAGGGAACTTTTGAGTGAGTGAATAATCTAATCTCATTGATCAACATGCCAACCAAATATTACTCAATTGTCCACGTTGAAATGAAGTGGTGTGTCCAATCGGAATGTACTCTTCTGATTAAGAGTATCCCTGAGAAAGAGCTGCAATGATTGAAGTGCATAGCTCGATGTTTAAAGGAAAGTGCAAGGCTGGTCCTCTATAATGTGAAAAATGGAACAATGCATGATAAATCAAATAAATATTGCAAGTACTGTTCATAAAAGCACCTTTGGGCTGCTATTTGCATCTAATATATGCAGTTAACGTGAAAGTGTGTTATTATCAACTCAAACAAGGGCATTACATGGACTAAAGCTTTAATAAAGCACTTTACATTACTGTGTCAAGCGTATATAATTTAGAACCTTAATCCATATATTTTATTTGCTTCGCTCTGCCAAGGTAAAGTGCACATCCTTTCAATTGTTAATGAGTTGTGTAAAAGTATCTGAGAATTCTCTGCTTTTTAAATTGCATTTTAAAGTCAGATTAGGCATTCTGGTCTTTTCTAAACTGAAAAATGGTTATAGTAGATTAAAAACAGGAACATCTGAATGCACAATGCTCTTCTTCCTACCTTTGGCTGCAGCTACGGCAACACATTTTGAGATCACAATAATTACCCCGGAAGGTCCTTTCTCTCATGCTTCCCTGCATCTTAGTGCATCTTCCTTTTTTCTGCAATCCCACTCTCAATTATTTATGAATGAAATAACGGTTTTCAAGTGTTAATAATTTACGGAAAAGCCCACATGGCTAGGCAGGCAAAAGAGTAAATGGCGGAGGGACCAGGGGTTTTGTAGTGCTTTATGGCCCCCATTCATCTTCAGTGATTATTATTCCTTTGTTTCACGGAGAGGGAACCCAGGCAGGAGGGCGGCATTAGGACATAAGCGCTTTGATTGTCTCATTTGAGCTCGTTTGCAACATTCGCTGGCAAATAATGAACATAAAATGGATGGTTTTCATTGTGCCGTGAGAGAGGGTGAGGGGACCATTCAAAAAAATACAGGCCTACAGCAAAGCACAATGGATATGTGTGTTACCATAGTGTCTTTGAGACCAACTGGGATTTGAACCCAGGTCTTCGCTATAAGATTGTGTTAGCCCTCTGAGCTAAAACCAAGGTATTAGAGCATCAGGTCTCAGTCAAGATTAATCATCACACAAATGTGGTTCACCAAACCACCTCTGTAATATCTGTGCTTGTTGAAATGAGCTAATACTCAGAAACCGTTAAGTGGGCTGCATCCATTTTGATATTCAGCAAGTAACGACTGTCATAAAGGCACCACAGGTAACACAGCTGTTATGTCTGTTTTTTTAACCTTCATTTCCAAGTATTCAGATAGATTAGATTTTTGCAAATAGCTAATACATTTACTATGTTGGTTGTATAATACCTTGTTCATAGTTTAAGCCTAGTAGTAGGCCCTATATTCAATCAAGGTCCTTTTTTGAAGATTTAACAGAATGTTATGTGGTTTGTGCTACCAATCAAGCTGATTATCGGCTAAAGAGAGATACGTTTTTCATTGAGATCCAATTGCTAGTCCAGATGTTGATGCCAAATCAATAAAGACATTACCGACTCTGCCAATGTGCTTGCTGTCTGACTAGCACTGATGTTGTCTTTAACCATATGTTTCCAAGGCAACCATATGGAGTAACTCACCATCATTAAAAAGAACACATTTCTAACCAGACCTGGGTTCAAATAGTATTTGCTTTCTGTCAGATACTTTCGCTGCAATTGACTGAGCGATTTGGCATGAATACTTTGAGCTTGATTGAGCCTACCTGGAGTGCCATATGGGTGGGATTCACACTTTTGGGACTATTCCAGGGGTTACATTGAATCAGGCAAGCTCGATAAAGCACAAATAAAGTATTAGAAATATATGTGCTCTAATCAATGCCACCAGCAACACTAGGCCTACTGCATCTAAAAACATACGCAGGTTCATCATTCGTTTCCTTTAGTTCTCAGGCTACCACGTGGACAGAGTTTGCACTTACGGGGCTATTATATTGGTTCCATTGTTCCAGGCACGCTCAATCAATTGCAGCGAAAGTATCTGACAGAAAGCAAATACTATTTGAACCCAGGTCTGATCTACAACCGTACCATCCTCACCTCATGCCTTTTGTCCCCACTCTCTCTAGCCCTGGCCATACTACTGTATCAGAATAAGGGTATGTTCCTATGAGGGTTGTTAGGCTATATGCTCTGGTGCCGTATATCACCTTTTTTATGAAATCGTTGGTCTTAGGGACAATGATTTCTAATGCGGGAAATCTCTGTGTCTATCTCCTGAAAAATGTTGTCTGCATTGCAAATGGCACCCTAGTCACTATTTAGTGCACTACTTTTGACCAGGGCTCGTAGGTCTCCGGTCAAAAGTAGTGCACTGTAGAGAATAGTATGTCAATTGGGACACATACACTAAGTGTCCAAAACATTAGGAACTCTTTCCATGACATTGATTGACCAGGTGAATCCAGGTGAAAGCTATGATCCCGTATTGATGTCACTTGTTAAATCCACTTCAATCAGTCTAGATGAAGGGGAGGAGACAGGTTAAAGAAGGATTTTTAAGCATGGAGACAATTGAGACATGGATTGTTTCTGTGTGCGTTTCAGAGGGTGAATGGGCAAGACAAAAGATTGAAGTGCCTTTGAACAGGTTATAGTAGTCGGTGCCAAACGCACTGGTTTGTGTCAAGAACTGCAACGCTGCTGGGTTTTTCATGCTCAACAGTTTCCTGTGTGTATCAAGAATGGTCCACCACCCAAAGGACATCCAGCCAACTTGACACAACTGTGGGAAGCATTGGAGTCAACATTGGCCAGCATCCATGTGGAACGCTTTCGACACCTTGTAGAGTCCATGCCCCGATGAATTGAGGCTGTTCTGAGGGCAAAAGGGCTGGGTCCAACTCAATATTAAGAACGTGTTCTTAATGTTTTGCTAGGTGGACTTTGTAATTATCTGTCCCCCGATGACATCATTGAGCTACATGATAAATCCATGTAGATGGAAGTAATTTCCTCTGAGGAAAGCTTAGCTGACTAAGATTGAGCGCTATAGTGCATTCTCTCTCTCAAAATACAGATATGTATTGTGATATAAAACAGTAACACTAATGAATGCCTGATTCACACAGAATAGAATGGTCCCTATCAATCTCTACATATTATGTACTTTGTGTGCGGCTTCATAAGGGAATTGGGTACTTTCTCAAGGAGGAAAAGTAATATTGAATGAAAGGGAGGGACCATAAGAATGTATCCTGAATAATTTAAAGATACATCAAGCATTCAGGGCCCTGTTTCCTGATAGTGATGGAACATAAGCTTATGAGTGTTTTAACGATACATCTTTCCTACAACGACCGAAGATGTAACATTAATTTCCCAAAACACCATGCAGAGAGAACGTTTGCTAAGTGCATTGTTGAGGCATGTCTATACTGATAGGATCGAAAGAAAGACAAAGCTGCTCTCGGATCAGCGTTCTCCCTTTCAAATCTTACCTTAACATTAGAATTATTCCACAATACTGACGACGGATCAGCTCCTATGAAATATGATCACCTATGGCTACAAATATTGAGGCGGCTTATTCTAATGCTTACCCTATAATAATGCACTAAATCAAGATTTGAGACATTGCGCACATGTAGGCTAAACATGAAATGTATGGAGGCAGAAATTACACAGCGTACAAATAGCTAAATAAAATTCAATTGACTGAACAAGAAATTGATTTCAATATCATTGAAATATATTGTTATATGTATCCTACTGTATTTATCTTCTAATACAGTCATCTCGGTTTTCATTTGAAGCATCTTATACTTTGCTTGTTTGTAACAATTGCAAAGACATTGGCAACTTTGTATTTATAATCACATTCGTTCTGAAGTTATCAGCGGTCACAAAAAGACAGAAACATATTGATTTTGTGTTTAGCTGAGATTTTCTGAGTATAAAGTGACGGGGAAGGGCAAAAAAAAAATCTAATGACACAATTACAGTAGCTGTTCTACGAGTGGTCCTAGGCTGTCGTTAAATAAGAAACCTTTTCAACTGCAACTTTAGTAACAATGGTTTGGGGAAACAGCTCTGAGATTTAACGATGCTCCTACGAAGGGTCTAACAAGGAACTTAGCCTTAGGATGCTTTTTGGAAAACAGGCCCGGGTCTATAATGCTCAAGACTTGGACTGCCTGTGGTCTGACTAAATCAATAGCTCAGACTTCTTCTGCTCTGTCTTGTTGTCTCTCCATCTTGTTTTTCCTCAGTTTAGCCACAATTCATGATTCAAAACTCCTGACGGGCCTCAAACCTTCATGTTCAAATTTTTATATTAACACTTCTCTCCTCTATGTTTTCCTGAGTTGTGGTTGCACCAGACAGCAGTAGCGAGCAATGAAAGACAAAAGAAGAGATACAATGTAGCTTCGAAAAAACATTTCCACAGGGAAATTTGTGCGGGCTTAGTGACTGATAAGCCCATTACGCAAGCCTGTGGTGGCGATGAGTGGCATGTCCCAGAGTAGGTAGATTTTTATTGCGGTAATGCCTTCTTCCCTCTCTAATCACAGGCCAGACAGATAAAAGCTTTTGTACTCACACGTCGTCCACGTAGCAAGGATACGGCATTTGCTGGGCAAACACGCCGAGCGGCTGTGATTTGTTTGTGTGCACCCGTATAATGCTGTGGTCCATCATGTCCTGCAGATAGGCGAAGCCTCCCCATATATAGCGCAGGTCGTTAAAGGAGTTGTCACGGGCCCCGGGAGACCATCCCCTTTAAATTGAAAGGACACACGTCACATGACTGTCAGTGTTTAAGAGACAGCCGGGGCTGAAAACATCATGGATGAAACAGTTAAATGTTACACCAAAATATATATATTTTTTGTAGTGACATTTGTCCCATGAGTGACATGGAATCATCAATTTATTGACACTGAATGCTTAATATTAATCATCTGAGAAATGACGCAAGAACATGTCTATTTGCTTTAGATACTTCAATTGTCTGGTAAAAGTTGACGTCAGTTAATAAAAAACAACAGGCTAAGCAACATCATGGCTTGTATTCATAAAGTGTCTCACAGCAGGAGTGCTGATCTAGGATATGTTTAACCTTTTAGGTCATATTGAATAACATTACATGGACGTGGGGGACCTGATCCTAGATCAGCACTCCTCTGAGACGCTTTATGAATACGGGCCCTGTTGCCCAATGTTTTCTCATTAGCACTAAAACAGAACAGGTTGACAGCGGAGAGTCTGTGCACTGGGCCTACCTTTCTTTAATCTTATTGGTACGCTCCCCCTCATCGATGTCCATGCGGATCTTGTACTTGACGTAAGGAGGGGGGTGGCTGGCGTCAGGGTCGAGGTCTTCGAAAACTATACCGGCCCAGTACGTATCGTTTTCTAGAAGCTCCAAGGCCCTAGCCTCGAGATGTCCCTCACTGTCGGCAGCCTCAAACTTATTCAGGTCGAGGCACTGTAACATGGAAAGGCAAGTTACACCAAGAAAGAGAGAAAATAAGTTTACTTATTTTAATTCTTTACAAACTGCTAGGGGTCTTACACAAGATCATGCTTTTAATATAAGCTGAGAGATGAGAGTGCTTTATATATGCATTCATCTCAGGATACAGATCTTACTGAAAATGTCACTTTGGGAACCCCATTCCTTTAAAGGTTCCCTCTTGTTGCTAACCAATTCCAGCCCTAGGTGTTTCATAGATATTACACAGAAAGAACATGTCCAAAACCATTACGCCCACTCTCCGCATCTCCCCATCTTTCCAACAACTCTGAAAGCTGGAGACTTCAAGGCCAGCTGTACTGTCCATCAAAGACCTGCTGAAATGTCTTTGCACGGTTGAAAGAGTAGAATCATATAATTTTAGTAATATGTAGTAGCCCTACTGAACTCAATAGAGTCCCATTACCTTTAGAAACTAAACTTAAAGGAAAACTCCACTCAAACTATCTTTTGGTATTCTTTTCATTAGTCCACTGTTCATACAGCCCCATAATGTTTTGCGTGTCAGCAGTCAAATTGTCAAGATATTGGGCTTTCAAGAAGGGAAGTGTCACCGGCCACATTTGACCTGCACTGTTGGAGCTAGAAGCATCAAAATGTCACTGTACCCTGCGATTACATCTGTGACCCTGTGCATGTGACTAATAAACTGATCTAATCTATCTAATCTAAATGTCCTTCACTCAACACTCAACTCATTTCAACTCACCATTATGTATCATAGCAACAATAGTCAACTGCATTCAACATCCGAGTACCTTGGGTAGATTGTTGTACACAATGTTTGAAATTACATGATTTGTAACTCGATTTAAACCTGAGTTGAGCGTGCAGATCTCAAGTTTGGGCCTCAGTGCATAGTGCATACAAACTTATGTTAGGTCTTCTGCAATATCATACACAATATTTTTCTCCTACACAGACAGTAAGATTTAGACATGTAAACATGATTATAAACTGGATAGGTCAAGTCCTGAATGCTAATTGGCTGACAGCCATGGTATATCAGACGAGACCGCATACCACGAGTTTGACTCTAATTACGTTGGTAACCAGTTTATAATAGCAATAAGGCACCTCAGGGTTTGTGGTACAGTATATGGCCAATATGCCACGGCTAAGGGCTGTATCGTGCTTAAGAACAGCCCTTAGCCGTGGTATATTTGCCATATACCACACCCCCTCGGTCCTTATTGCTTATTCGTACCATATTTGCATTAATGCTTCTCACTAAAAGACAATAATAAAATAAAAAGTGAAAATAGCCTTTCTGCAATACCACGGTCCAAAAGAAGCGATGAACAGAAACCACACTATAAGACATGCCTGAGGAATGGTGCAGTAGAAAAATATGTTTTGGTACTGACACTGAAAACAATAGACTGGACAACAGCAGAGTTACAAATGATGCAGAGCTGCCAAGGGATATGTTATGGAGTACGGCAGAGGCATACTGAGATACAGATTTGGTAGCTGGCTGGTACTCGCTTTATCCTTGTTTCCAATGGACTGTAATGAGCTAGCCATCTGGGGTGTGAGTCTGGCTTGACAGCTGTCCACACATACCTCCACCACAAGGGCTTGTTATGGTACTTTCTCTCAATAAAGAAGCTCCTTTACCATATTCACAGACAGCATATAATTGCATATGTTGTTATTGAGTGTCCAAATTCAGCATGTTACATTTATGGCTGTACGTTATGCAGTACATGACATGATATGATTCTTGGGCAGTTTGTGCCTGCCCTGTATGTAGAGAAAAGTCAGGTTTGTTTCGCCTTTTGCTGCAGTGGGCTAAATCAGGGTCACACAGAGTGTTTCTTGGTAGTCTTAAACAAATCTACTTTGAAACAAAAGTATACACCTCACACACATGGTTATAGGCATACAAAAAGAAGACACCTGTACCATGTCAGATATAGAGTTTGAAATGTATTACATTTTGAGTTTGCATCCAAATATTACACATTTTATACATCACAGAAGCCTGAAATATAACAAAACTTTTTGACATAGAAACACCGGATTTTCAGCGTTTAAAAAAAAAAAGTTTATTAATTATGAAAAATATTAATAACATTCCAACGGTGATGCCACTAGGTTATTTGACTGCCGGAAAGAGTTTTAATGCATTGGTTTCCTCGCAATGCATTATGTAGGATTATAAACAGTTGAAGTCGGAAGTTTACATACACTTAGGTTGGAGTCATTAAAACTAATTTTTCAACCACTCCACAAATTTCTTGTTAACAAACTATAGTTTTGGCAAGTCGGTTAGGACATCTACTTTGTGCATGACACAAGTAATTTTTCCAACAATTGTTTATAGACAGATTATTTCACTTATAATTCACTGTATCACAATTCCAGTGGGTCAGAAGTTTACATACACTAAGTTGATGGTGCCTTTAAACAGCTTGGAAAATTCCAGAAAATGATGTCTAATTGAGGCTAATTGACATCATTTTAGGCAATTGGAGGTGTACCTGTGGATGTATTTCAAGGCCTACCTTCAAACTCAGTGCCTATTTGCTTGACATCATGGGAAAATCAAAAGAAATCAGCCAAGACCTCAGAAAGAAAATTGTAGACCTCCACAAGTCTTTGGGAGCAATTTCCAAATGCCTGAAGGTACCACGTTCATCTGTACAAACAATAGTACGCAAGTTTAAACACCATTGGACCAGCAAGCCATCATACCGCTCAGGTAGGAGACGCGTTCTGTCTCCTAGAGATGAACGTACATTGGTGTGTCAAATCAATCCCAGAACAACAGCAAAGGGACCTTGTGAAGATGCTGGAGGAAACAGGTACAAAAGTATCTATATCCACGGTAAAACGAGTCCTATATCGACATAACCTGAAAGGCCGCTCAGCAAGGAAGAAGCCACTGCTCCAAAACCGCCATAAAAAAGCCAGACTACGGTTTGCAACTGCACATGGGGACAAAGATCGTACTTTTTGGAAAAATGTCTTATTAAACAAAAATAGGACTGTTTGGCCAAAATGACCATCATTATGTTTGGAGTATAATGAATAATAATGGGAAATATTGTACAATCCAGATGTGCAAATCTCTTAGAGACTTACCCAGAAAGACTCACAGCTGTAATCGCTGCCAAAGGTGATTGTAACATATATTGACTCAGGAGTGTGAGTCTGTATTTCAATAAAAATGTAACATTTTCTAAAACATGTTTTCACTTTGTCATTATGGGGTATTGTTTGTAAATGGGTGAGAAAACAATCGATTTAATCAATTTTGAATTCATACTGTAACACAACCAAATGTGGACTAAGTCAAGGGGTCTGAATACTTTGTGAAGGCACTGTATTTCATGGAAAGAGCAGGTGTTCAAAATTTTTTGTACACTCAGTGTATATTTATATATTGTATATGTTTTTAGCCATGTGCCAGCATATTTGCTGGGGGAGGACTAGCATTCTGCATTATAGATGATAACAGAGTATAAATCAAGTGTCTCTACTCACTTAAATTCATCTATCTATGGACCACTTCAGGAAATAGCTTATGTAAGCACCCATTCAACATCTTTCACAACCAAACGTTTTCGCTGGTCGATATCATCAATGATTAGCTACAATTTGTTTCAAGTGTATTAATAGTGGATTAGTAAATTCTGTGGATGTAAGGAGTACATCCAATTTGGCATTTCATTTTCAAAAACTAAAAATAATCAATGTTGTATTACTAGTCATATGTCTTCTTGAATTTGAAGGACCTGAAAGACCAGAAATGTTGATTTATAGTTCAATTTTGCCATGTTTCCTCAACTTGACATGTATTGACTACATGAACCTTTGATTAATATACTGATTACGTTTTATATACCATGAGAGAAATTCAAATGGGAGAGACAGTGAGAGAGAGAGAGAGAGAGAGAGAGAGAGAGAGAGAGAGAGAGAGAGAGAGAGAGAGGGAGAGAGAGAGCAAACGTAAGAGAGCGGGGGGAGAGAGAGGGGGAGGGGGAGAGAGATGGGGAGGGGGAGAGAGAGGGGGAGAGTGAGACAGAAAGGGAGAGAGAGGGGTGAGAGAGAAAGAGCGAACATGAGAGAGCGGGGGAGAGAGAAAGAGAGAGAAGGAGAGAGCAAACGTAAGAGTGCGGGGAGAGAGAGAGCACATTTCACATTTTCTCCACCCTGTCCACGCTCAGCATGCGTTGAGCCTATGCAACAAGGAAAAGGTAAATTATTGACTAGTAAACATAATCCCGACGTCCATTTTGAGATATGGAATTCCTTCAGGAATGAAAATGGATTGCATTACTTTTGGAATTATTTTGCCACGTGGCTAAACCCCAGGAGGCATAGATGTCATCTCCCAGGTATTAGCAATGAGGGAGATGATAAAATGTCTGTAGTCTACACGTGTGGCCACATAGCAGCAGGGAAAGGAGTGTATTGCTGCAAACCACCTTACGGATCAATACGTCAATGTCAACCCAACTGTCTGCATGCCCCTATGTGTGGAGACAGTGCTGTGTCTTGTGTTGTTATGTTAGCTGAAATGTGTGTCCTTGGATGCTTATAACAATCCTTTTTATTACCACAGCAGTACACATTGTTAGGCATTTTTTTGAATATTGTCAAGGTTGTCAATTGATATGTACTTTTGTATATACTGTAACAATTGGCAATCTTGCTTTTTATTCACCCAATCAAACAACAGCTTGTGCTGTTAGGGGTGAAGAGTGCAAATATTATATTTGTGAACGTACACACAGTGTTGAAAGTTCTTATTCATATAATAGAGCTAGCCCACTGGGCACACACTGGTTGAATCAACGTTGTTTCCACCTCATTTCATTGGAATTACGTTGAACCAAAGTGGAATAAATGTTGAATTGACGTCTGTGCCCAGTGGGAGGATACATACACACACTCCAAAATGTCAGTGTATTTTGTAAAGGGGGAAAAAGGTATCAAATCACTTTTGACAATGTGAAGCAAGAAAACTAACAAACCGCAATTAACTTCTTCAGGAGGTCCAGGATTTGGCTGGTGGCGTTGAACACGTTGCGCCAGTCATTCGACGGCATGCCCGCGGGGTGTTCCTCAGGGGGCCTATTGTACAGGAAGTTGGCGAGCAGTTCTGCCGTCCATCTTGTGCCTTTGAGCTGCTGGTTGAGTGCGGCTGCAAACACCGGGTTATCCAGGAAGGCCTGATTTGAAAACCAGAGAAAAGGAGTTGTGTGGGTCATTTACCCTCATCAGATTATAAAACAATCAATGCACTGAGAAATGAATGCAGTGGAAGCTAATTGAAGACCTGCAGCACTGCAGATCCTTAGGACTTCCTCTGTGAGAGAATTAATTAGAAACATTAAGCTAGATGGCACTGTTGTACTGCAGGCTTGGGGAATTTACACCCACCTTTTTCATGACCATGCACATTCACACATGTAGAGTCGCAGGCACATACGCAGACGCACTCAGGCATGTGCACACACAATCGTACATTCACACACACACACTCACACACACACACAGTGTGTGATTCCTGTGACTGCCTCTTTCCTCCTTCCTCCCCCAGTGCGATAAGCACCAGGTGTCTTAACTGTCAGCTTGGCTTAAGCCTCATGCCATGATCCATGATTTGACTCGGCACTCAAAGAGTTAATGAAGAGATATGCTAATCTAAATGCGAATGGCCTTGCTGTTACAGCCTCCCTATGTGTGCAGTTTCAAAAAATAATGGCCACCCATCCCTGTAGTGTAGAACAATTGGGGCCTTACATAATAGCTTTCTACTCAGGTTGCCTGGTACAGGGTTGGTTAAAATACATTGACCGCGTCCCAAATGGCACCATATTCCTTATAGGGTACACTATTTTTTAACAGATCCCTATGGGCCCAGATCAAAAGTAGTGCAATATAAAGGGGATAGGGTGCCATTTGGGATGCAGTCTTTCCATCTGTCTGGGACTGCTCCCCTCAGTGTGATCTGTAGGGTGCATACAGTATGCTCGCAACCATGAAATTGCAATCATGTAATAACACGATAATAGTGTTGATGTATTGCATAACTGAACATGGTCTGCTGATAATGTAGTGTGTGTCAAAACAGGCTGAAATCTCTCTCTCTCTCTCTCTCTCTCTCTCTCTCTCTCTCTCTCTCTCTCTCTCTCTCTCTCTCTCTCTCTCTCTCTCTCTCTCTCTCTCTCTCTCAAACATATTCTGATCAATGTGTTCAGTGGCATTTGTAGGTAAACACTTTAGGATGTTTAACATGGGGTCAAAGTGTCAAACCTCTATGCTGCTCCTGACCTTTTAGAAACAGCGGTTTAACCATCTATCTGTGATAGTAAGAGTGGAATAATTAATTTAGTTTCAAGATGTACATACATAAATATATTGTAAACAACTCGCTGTTTTTACTTTAGAGTTAAGAATATTTGTAAAGGGGTCACTGAAATTCAATTGATTATACAGAATGCCAATGTGTCCGTGGCTAAACATGGTATATATGTTCTACTACTCCTAATGTTCACTGGCATTTGGGATGGATCGTTGCAGATATGCCGTTTAACCCCGTTGTACATGTGTCAAATGACATTATCCGACATGAGAAGGTCTTCGAGCGAAAAAATACATGTTCCCCTGTTTTCCCCATATTTTCCCTGGCCTTTTAAAAAAGGGTGGAAATGGTGGGCTCCCCACGGCAAACGGCCAATGAAAACTCAAACCAGACCTCTTACCATTTTCCAACATAGGGTCATTCTAATAATAATTCCTGCTTGACATTTTCCTCGCTGGTCACTGGTTTGGCATCTAGTAAATGGCAACCAACCATTCATTATCAGTCGCTCTTTTACTGTAATAGAATGTTATATGAATAGATGTAAACCCATAGGGTTACCTGTTGGCAACACTAGTAATTATTTTTACACGGAGTAGTGTTTGAGAATACTGCTTTCTGGGTCCTTCAAGCCATTCCATAAAATCGAAGCTATCCCCTCTCCCATATGCACTATCGTAGATCTTAGAGGATTGAACGGGTAGAAGGAAAATGGTAGTAAAACCATCTTGCCCTCTGATAGTCAAGGTGGAACATAGAGATAGTCAGAGGACTCTTCTTTGTATCTGTCCCACTAAGACATCTGTGAGCAAACAGGCAGCGCCATGAAGGCCATCTCCATTTTGAAGTAGTCAATTTCCTTCTTGCACAACTTCCATGAGTTGGTAAACAAACTGAAAGGGTGCATACTGTGTGGTTTGAACAGGTATAAAGACAAGGTGCATACTGCCACTTGCAGTTATGGAATGTTTGCTCATGAGTACAATTAATTGGCTGATCCTGATAACCTGGATGGAATGAAGTGATCCTTCCTTAACAAATAGGAAGTCACAGCCAGTTGACTACTTCAAAATGCATATTGGCATTTATTGTTATTAATCTTGCCCTGGAGGCAGCTCTGCAGAGTGAGCACTAGATGGCTCAGCCACAAAGTCATACAATCAGATTTTAAACCTAACCCTAACCCTAACATTAACCCTAACCTTAACCACACTGCTAACCCTAATACCTAACCTTAAATTAATTTTTACAATGTGGCCAATATTCACCTTGAAGCTGAGTCATTAGCGGAAATCACTCAGTTCTGCCTCCAGAACAAGACTCATGACAATAAACGTCAACCTGCCTTCAAAATGGGGCAAGTCCTCAATGCCGCTTCTCATGCTAAAATGGCTTTTGGGCGCTACAGTTTTCTATCTAAGTCTATGAGGTGGAATTGTCACCCTATTGCTTATACCTATCCAAACCTCCTAGATCCTTTCAGTGGGGGCTAGGGGTTTATTTGGGATTCAAGAGATTTCTCTCTTCAGCTCGGCTGATAACTCAACTGTGCTGTAAATGCCGCCATCAATGTAGAAAGTTGCTAAAACCTTGAGAGACCTCTGGAGAAGATGACACCACAGAACTCGGAGGGAGAACATGAAGACAAAGGAGAATTGCCGGGCCCATTTGTGTAAAGGTTAGGGCTAGGATAATGAATAACCTGGCTACATGGAGTGCTCGGCTACGCTCTTCCCTAGCTGCCCATAAGCTCATTTCAGGTGACACGGGAGTAATGTCAGCTTCAAGGGAAAGGGAAAGGTGTGTGAGCTCTCCATCTCTCCATTCCAAGTTAATCCCCTTCCCTGACTGCCGGGTTGAAAATTATCCAGCACTTACCCATAATTACTTTATTTTTTTCCATATCGATAAACCTGATATGTAGCTCTATTCTTCAGCTGAATTTGTGTTAAAAATGTTAGGTACATTATGGTGGGAGGAAATGTAGGACTCTACTTTTGAGAGATATGAAGTGAGAAAAGTAGCTTTTTAAAGGTTGGTAAATATGCCTAATGGAATGGCTTGTGTATGTCATTCAAAATTCAAATGGACAAGGATAATTCTGACTGATGTATATCAGTGGTGGGCGGTGCAGTTTAAGATGAGGGAAGACAATTCATTTTTTTTATGAGGATGGCCTTATTTCTATTACAGCATATTGGATGACTGTCATTCATATTCCATTCACCAAGTTCAATGTAACAGCGATAGGTTTAGGCTACTACATGATACTCACATGTTCCCTATACCCATCATGAGGTTGCTACAACCTAGCCTATGAATGAAAGTTTTCAATGTAAGTGCACAGGTTAAGAGAAAAATGTGAGTAATCAAGGTGACAGAAAATGACACATTCAATACCGTCTTGCACACTCTTGCCTGAATCTAGCTGATCTAGGGTGTAATCATTAGTCCAACAGTTGCAAACAAGAGTTTCTATTGGACAAATTCAAGTATGTTTATCCCCATTTTGTTCCATTTGCTTCCGTTTAAGAATTATTTTTTCAACAGAATCGGCGGAATGAATACACCCCTGATCACACGCAGCCACACACAGCGCATTTGGAAAGTATTGAGAACCCTTGACATTTTCCACATTTTGTTACGTTACGTTACAGCCTTATTCTAAAATGGAATGGATTAAATTGTTTTTTTTCCCCCTCATCAATCTACACACAATACCCAAGAATGACAAAGCATATTAAATGTATTAATAATAAAAAACTGAAATATTACATTTACCTAAGTATTCAGAACCTTTACTTAGTACTTTGTTGAAGCACCTTTGGCAGTGATTACAGCCTCGAGTCTTCTTGGGTATGAAGCTACAAGCTTGGTACACCTATATTTGGGTAGTTTCTCCAGTTCTTCTCTGCAGATCCTCTCAATCTCTGTCAGGTTGGATGGGGAGCGTTGCTGCACAGCTATTTTCAGGTCTCTCCAGAAATGTTCAATCGGGTTTAAGTCCGGGCTCTGGCTGGGCCACTCAAGGACATTCAGAGACCTGTCCCAAAGTCACTCCTGCTTTGTCTTTGCTGTGTGCTTAGGGTCGTTGTCCTGTTGGAAGGTGAACCTTCGCCCCAGTCTGAGGTCCTGAGCGCTCTGGAGCAGGTTTTCATCAAGGATCTCTCTGTACTTTTCTCTGTTCATCTTTCCCTCGATCCTGACTAGTCTCCGGGTCCCTGCCGCTGAAAACCATCCCCACAGCATGATGCTGCCACCACCATGATTCAACGTAGTGCGAGGTTTCCTCCAGACTTGATGCTTGGCATTCAGGCCAAATAGTTCAATCTTGTTTCTCATGGTCTGAGAGTCCTTTCGGTGCCTTTCGGTAGTAGCCCACTACAATCACTTAATGTTACCCCACTCTTCCATCAAGGCACCTGCAAGTTCCCAGACATTTCTGGGGGAATGGCCCTAGCCCTCAACCTCCGATCCAACAGGTCCCAGACGTGCTCAATGGGATTGAGAGCCGGGCTCTTTGCTGGCCATGGCAGAACACTGACATATCTGTCTGGCAGGAAATCACGCACAGAATGGCTGGTGGCATTGTCATGCTGGAGGGTCATGTCAGGATGAGCCTGCAGGAAGGGTACCACATGACGGAGGAGGATGTCTTCCCTGTAACGCACAGCGTTGAGATTGCCTGCAATGACAACAAGATCAGTCCGATGATGTTGTGACACACCGCCCCAGACCATGACGGACCCTCCACATCCAAATCGATCCCGCTCCAGAGTACAGGCCTCGGTGTAACACTCAGTCGTTCGACAATAAACGCGAATCCGACCATAACCCCTGGTGAGACAAAACCACGACTCGTCAGTGAAGAGAAGTCCTGTCTGGTCCAGCGACGGTGGGTTTGTGCCCATAGGCGACGTTGTTGCCGGTGATGTCTGGTGAGGACCTGCCTTACAACAGGCCTACAAGTCCTCAGTCCAGCCTCTCTCAGCCTATTGCGGACAGTCTGAGCACTGTTTATTGCCCTGGCCACATCTGCAGTCCTCATGCCTCCTTGCAGCATGCCTAAGGCACGTTCACACTGATGAGCAGGGACCCTGGGCATCTTTCTTTTGGTATTTTTCAGAGTCAGTAGAAAGGTCTCTTTAAGGTCCTAAGTTTTCATAACTGTGACCTTAATTGCCTACCGTCTGTAAGCTGTTAGTGTCTTAACGACCGTTCCACAGGTGCATGTTCATTAATTGTTTATGGTTCATTGAACAAGCATGGGAAACAGTGTTAAACCCTTTACAATGAAGATCTGTGAAGTTATTTGGATTTTTATGAATTATCTTTGAAAGACAGGATTTTGAAAAAGGGACGTTTCTTTTTTTGCTGAGTTTATATTGACATTAAAGCTCTTTTCATCTGGATTTGACTAATAAAACCAACTCTTATTTTAATTTTCTCACTTACATTGACATTAAATATAATCACCATAGATAAGACAGTGATACTCATGTATGACAAGTCACTCAGCCTTGTCTAACATTGCCAAACCCACTGGCTCCAGGTCATCTATAAATCTCTGCTAGGCAAATCCCTGCCTTATCTTAGCTCATTGGTCACCATAGCAACACCCACCCATAATATGCACTCCAGCAGGTATATCTCACTGGTCATCCCCAAAGCCAACACCTCCTTTGGCCGCCATTCCTTCCAGTTCTCTGCTGCCAATGACTGGAACGAACTGCAAAAATCTCTGAAGCTGGAGACGCTTATCTCCCTCATTAACTTTAAGCATCAGTTGTCAGAGCAGCTTACCGATCACTGCACCTGTACACAGCCCATCTGTAATTAGCCCACCCAACTACCTCATCCCCATATTGTTATTTATTTTGCTAATTTGCACCCCAGTATCTCTATTTGCACATCATCTTCTGCACATCTATCACTCCAGTGTTAAAACTAAATTGTAATTATTTTGCACTATGGCCTATTTATTGCCTTCCCTCAATAACTTACTACATTTGGACACACTGTATATAGATTTTCTATTGTGTTATTGACTGTCTGTTTTGTTTATCCCATGTGTAACTCTGTGTTGTTGTTGTTTTTATCGCACTGCTTTGCTTTATCTTGGCCAGGTCGCAGTTGTAAATGAGAACTTGTTCTCAACTGGCCTACCTGGTTAAATAAAGGTTAAATAAAAAATAAAAATAAACATCTGGCATATGTAAACCAGCTCTCCAGTGCAGTACATCAGGTTTCCATGTTTCTGTTGAAGGAGTCATAAATCTTACCCTGAGTGCACTGACTTGGGGGCCATTTTGAAAGTAGTCCCAAACAAGTGGTCCAAAATCCTCCCATGCTTCCGCCAGCTCTTTCAACATAGCCAACGCGTTGAATGTGCTATTTGCCTGAAACAAGATAGAGAGATACAGTGTGGTGATTAAAATATGGAAAATTCCATCTCTACCCCTCCTCCATTTCAAGGCATTCCCACTGTGCTATCACATTTATTTTGCAGCCAATCTGACCTTGAGAACACACTGCTTCTTCGTATTTTCACCTATCACCATTGTGACGAATGTAAACTGGGTTATTTGCACTGAGATGTAAACAATTGGGCTGCGCCGGGTGTAAAGACAGGCCCCTGTGGCAAGACCGAGCCGCTCGCTGTGAAGTCGGTGGATCCGCTCATCCAATATCTTACTGGATATTCTCCAAATCCAATTCCCTACAGCTTCTCACCATTGGTTTGGTTTGTTTATGCAGTTATCAAAATGATGTTAATATCGGGAGAAACGTCATGAAAAATAGATAATCTCCCCTGAGTGTATTTTCTATCTCCTCTCTCTGGCTCTTTCTTTTCGGTTTCTGGAGAGATGTTCACAGCGTGTATCATCACGTTTTTATTTACCAGCTAACCTAAATGCCCCGTCTTGGTATGATTCGTGAAGTGAAAATAAGCAATTAGATACAATCGCAAACTTTTTAATTATTCAAGCTATTTACATAGACACCCAAAGTCAATATCCCCCACACTGTTTTGAGTGTTGTGAACACAGATTCCACAGTCTTGCAGACATCCATTTTCTTTCAGTCTACTTGACTGACTTAAATTCAAATTGACACCAACCCTGGCAGACATAATGTGTGCATACAATATGAGTTTCTCCTTTGCTTTACCTCTTTCACCATTAGTCTAGTTGCAGGTGTATCAGGGGTGTAAAGGACCTTCCCTTGGATTAGGGGCCGAAACGTACTCCAAACATTACGTAGGCCAGGAGTTCCCTCAAGAGTGTCAATCAGTACTTTGCAGAAGGCACCTGGTGAGAGAGAAAAATCGATTGTACACTCAAAAACATGTGTAAATACACGAACGACTCCATTAATGTGTAGCTAATAACACAATGGCTGGGGACAGAGGAAGGAAGTGAGCAATAATATTTATACAGCAGACTAGCACAGCTGAATACATACAGTAGGAGTTGGGAGCCAGGAGTGCTCAACACTGAGGGAGAAAACAAGTCAATATGCTCAGCTGCTTTGGGATCATTATTCATTTATCCAATCTGCCAATGTGAATGTTGCCAGGTCGGTTGGAGCGCTGTGTAGGTTACACAGGACCATAGACCTGTGGGAACAGCACGGTGAAAGGTGCTGCAACCTTCACTTGTTTGTGTTTCTCTAGGGGTGTGAGGATGTGTCTGTCTGTCCTGTCCAGCGTCTCTGTTTACCGGTATGTCTGTCTGTTTGCCTGCCTGTCTGCCTATATTTGTCTGTCTGCCTGCCTGTCTCTATATCTGTGTCTGTTTCTGTCCACCTCTATGTGTCGCTGTGTCTTAGTCTAACTGTCTGTACTTCTATGTGCGTCTGTCTGTCCGTCTGCATGGACTCAGGTGCGTAGGTCTATACTTGGCTCGTCATCTCGACCCAAAAGCCTCTTCCACCTCTTTTATGACAGTGCTCCCTTAACCGCTGGCTACCTATCCCGTCAGTGATTTGTGGCCATTTTGAGTGCAGGATGTGCAATAAACGTTAGCCTTTTGTCTTGCGGCCATCCCTTCTCAGGTGCTCCGGGGAGACTCTGTCGAGTGTAATGGCCGCCCTCACTCCGGACAGCTGTTTCCCCTGACCACACATAATTTCCTATAATCACATGGCTTAGACAGGAAGAACAAAGTGTCACATGGCTTAGAGCTCTCCTTTCAATAAATATTGATATCAGGATGAATCTCTTCCACCCATTCTTATTCGTATTAATATTTCTCTCCCCGAAAACTGTGACGTACCATCATATTCTGACCAAAGGTGTCCGATTTATCACACAATGGTGGCGGTGAGGAACTGAATCCATATTTTAATCAGGGAGGTGCAGCCAAGTAATTGCTCAGAGCCTCTAGTCAGTCCCTCATCTTACCTGGCGAATGTAATACATTTGAGTTCGGCACAGTGCAGAAACAAGACTCGCTCACACACACACGGACACTTTACTCTGGACACGTACACACACAGTCACACACCTACCTAACGTGACTAACACACACATCACTCACTCAGACTGCACCGCTTCCAACATTCAAATAGAACTCTCCAGAATGTCATTCAAACACGACTTTCTCTAAAGCGAAAGGCATACAATATTCCTTTCGTCACTCACACACAGATACAAACATAATATTTGTGCAGACACACACACACAAATGTACACTAACATGTACAAACACTGCTCTACTGCAACTTCTACATCCAACTAAGGGCAATCAATGTTTTACAAACATGTCAGTTCACAGGAGCCTCCCTGTACAAAAAAATGAAAATATCACTCTGTATGCAATAGGCCAGGGCCTGGTTTCCCAAAAGCATCTTAAGGCTAAATTTATTGTTACAACCATAGGATCATTGTGTTTCTAACAATGAACTTAGCCTTAAGATGCTTTTGGGAAACTGGGCCCAGGAATCCAACCCTGTTCCTGGAGAGCTACCATCCTGAAGATATTTCGCTCTAACCCTAATTTTAGTGCACCTGATTCTAATAATTAGCTGGTTGATCAGCTGAATCAGGTTAGTTACGACTTGGGTTGGATTGAAAACCTACAGGAAGGTAGCTCTACAGGAACAGGGTTGGAGAGAACTGCTATAGGCTCTATCCATCATACATTTCAATGCCCTATGCACACCTTTTTTTCCATGATATGTGTTTCCCAAGCACAGTGGGGGGTGTAAACAATCGATCCAAAGGGCTAATCTCATTTCTCCATTGTGCGAGGCCATCTTTTGAAAATGCTGCCACGGACAGCAGTTTACTACCCTGTTATTTTCTTTAATGATGCTATTGGATGGTGCCTAATGCCAACAGAAATTAATTTGGGAGGGGTATTTTTTGGGGGGGTAATTACCAAGCAACTTTTATAGCCTTTATTGTTGCTATTTTATTATTCCACAGAGTACACTTTGAGTCTTGCAAATGAGACGTACTGTATATTGGTTAATTGTAAAGAGACATGTACATTCCCATACTCATGTACTGTACAGAACAATAAAAATAAGCAAGTAAAGCTATTAGCATGCAGACAGAGGAGTTGGCACTCATTTCAAATGGCTGCTGCATTGTTTTACTAATTTGTAGTGGCACCAGCACACAAATCCACTTTAGGGTGTAACTTTATTCCCGGGAAAAGCCAAACGTATTAAAATCTCAAGTTTTTTTCTGCGGATCCTCGAACTAACAGGCAATTAATGGAACAGGATAGAGCCGCCCCTAATTAGTACAATCCAAAAGACATTACACTTGAGAAATTGTGCTCGGTGGTAAGCGGAGGGACAAAAACATTTGTGTAATGAGGAACTCGGCACTGTAAATAAATAGGTTGACTTGACATGTCCGATCCCTGGTGTCACGTACGTTAAGGAACGGGACGGACCAAGGTGCTGCGTGAACGGCGAACATGTTTATTAACTAATAAACACACGAAACAGTAACCAAAACAACAAACTTAACCGTGACGGTCCAAAGGCTAACACACAAGCCTTAACATGAACATAACAAAATCCCACAACGCAGGCAGGAAAACTGGCTGCCTAAGTATGATCCCCAATCAGAGACAACGAGCGACAGCTGCCTCTGATTGGGAATCACACCCGGCCAAACATAGAAATACAAAACCTAGAATATATTCACACCCTGACCAAACTAGCTAGAGTTCTATAGGCCAGGGCGTGACACCTGGTAAGGTTTAAGATTCTCTCGTTTTTTAGTTTGCCGTCTCCTGGCCTCAGAAAACTTTTCCACTCTGAAAAACATAGATGAATATCTTAGCACCCAACTATTTGTCAAGCTGAACAGACAAGGGCTCGGCTGCATTTTAAAACATTACCATTTTTGGAAAACAGACAAAAAAAACGGGCAACATATTTTAATGTAATTGGGAATTGCAACCGCATGTGTATGCCTAGCAGGTAACTGTTATACTAAATGGATTTGTTGTCATTGGAGGAAGCCTATTGAAGCCCATTTCTCAGAACAATACTTCAGTGATCAGGGGAATCATACATGTCCACATGACAAATGTAACCTTTGAAGCATTGATGAATGTAATTTCTGAACATGGTAGAGTGCCATGTCTGAGCTGTGTATACATTACCCAACATTGCTGTTTTGACCCCTAAACGAATCCAAGACTGCATAATAAGCCCTTTGCACAATAATAATAATAATACGCTATTCCAAGGCTTGATATAAAAAAATAACCTATGGATCTATCATTATTTCTAATATTCGAAAACGGCTATAAATATCACAATAATTGTCATACATGTTTCTACATGAACTGTTGTACAACAAAATTCCTTAACAGTAAGATAGCATTTACACATGAAAGAAACCTCCATGGACTGTTCAAAACTGATTTTATCATTCTAGGAGCATAGCACTAACATTGTAAGAAAGTTGAGGGGAGGGTCACGTGACCTTTGACAACGATGCAAGCTTGATTTCTCAGCTCACCTCCAATTCCTTCTAAATTTGTTATTTTCATAAGTGTTGAGATTTAAAGTATTACTAACAACCTTGGAACATGTCAATGTACAAAGGTGGGGTCAAAAGAAAAGATGCAAGCCCTCCGGTGAAGAAGACATTCAGGGAAACTGAGAGCCTCTATAAAGAGCTCAACAACGCCATTTTGCAGGCCTCTAGACAGGCTATGGAGGAACAACATTGCAGCCTGGATGCTATTGTTACCTCAGCCATGGAAAAGGCTGTGGACAACATTCTGACACCAAAGACTGCAGCTTTGCAGGTCCAGGTGACTAAAGCCAACGATTCAGTCAATGCCTTGGCCGTGGAAGGCTTGAGCAAGTCGCTTAATCAGACCAAGGGGAAATATGACCAGCTTCACTCCAAGGTGCGCGAGAACAAACGAAAGATGACAAACAACGAAAAAAATATTGAGTACGTCCTTAAAAGTGACAGAAATGGCGGACAGAAATCTTACGTCAAATTTGAAATTGGTGGGACTTGACAACTCCGAGGAAGGGTCGGACGCCGTTGGTTCCTAAAAAGAAACCTGCCAATTTGGAGCCCTTCATTGGTAGGCTGGGACATCTGCATCGAGAGGGCTCACCGCGTATTCAGAAAAAACATTGAGCCTGAGTGGCCACACACCCTGATCTTTAAACTGCTGGATTACACCAGGCTATCCTGCAAGGGGCGAGGGCCGTTTTCCCCATCAAGCACAAACACCAACATCTGCAGTTCTTTCCGGATTACAGTGCAGAGACCACAAAGAAGAGAACTGCATTCACTCCGGTAAAGAAGAAGATGACGGCACTTGGTCTACAGCCATTTCTGCAATATCCTGCTCTCGTAAGCTAACACATTGAGGCAACAGGTTTATCTTCAACTCAACCAGGGAGGCAGAGGATTTATTCTGATCAACATTTGAGGCGAACAGGACTTCCGACCCAGGCCGCAGCGCCTGTCCCGGTTTGGATCGCAGATAAGACAAAGTCACACAGGAGATGGACATCTCTTCACCCCGGGATGGAGCAGTAGCCACTGTGTTGTGGCTGACTAGCTTGCTAGCTAGGTCCTTGAATTGTTTGGCTATTGTTAGTAGAGATAAGCTAACCTTAGCTACAGCTCTGTGCTTCACAGAACCGAGTTTACGAAGTAACTGGCGTGGCGAGTGGTTTTGTTGTGAGGACTTTACTGAACCATATGGATAAATAGTGTTTCTTCTGAACTGAAAGAATACTTTTTTTTTTTTGATAAAGGTAAGCAACTTACTGTTAGTAGTAGGGGGAGTAGTTGGCTGGCTAGCTAG